GCAAGTTATTAACAGAGCAAGAGATAAGAAATTCTAAATTAAAATGCATTTGCAATAAAGGTAGTGTAAAAATTAGATGAGTCATTACAGGACGTGTTTAGGGAGGCTGTGTAAGACATATGAAGGGAGGTATGCCTAGGGCTGCATAAACAAAGTGATTATCGCCTAAATGGCAGAGATTTGAGCAGGTAGACTGCAGGGGCATAATCTATACACCAAAACTGCTTCAAAAAGCTTAAGTTGTATTAGGGACTATAGTGTCCCTTTAAATAGCTTTATCAAATGTTAAACTGAATTTTTGTTTTTGTGTGTGTGTGCTGTTCCTTTAACTGTATTTTGTTCTGGGTGTGCCCCCAATTCCCATTATTTCTGTATATATATGGAATCCAGACCAGATTCCTACTGAGCTGAGTACCCCACCGATCCACTATGGGTGCCCCTTTGGAGGTGACCACAGGAAAGCTTACATTGAGGAGTCTCTGAAAGCAGTTTAAGCAGTAAGTATTGCTAGTTAGCATGTCAATCTCTCATGTTAAAATTAGTGTAGGACCCATTGATATTGGGGTACCATGATGTAGTGGTGGGATTAACACAATACAGCCATACGGTGTAATTGAATCCCCATATTTGTTTGCTGAGAGAGGTGATTTTAAGTAGCCTTGTAAAATGTAAAACAATTTTTTTGATTTTGTGAATGTGCTGTTCCTTTAAATGTATTTTATACAGGGGATACCCTACCTGGTAAATGTCAAGTGGAGAAATGATCAGTTTGTCTATTTTGGTTTAGTAAATATCCCTCACAGTTAGAAACAAACATTATTTACATGTACTTAATTCCATTTAAAGTTTTTGTTAATAAGGTTCTGGCTTCAGGCTGACTGCATTACTAGTAGACTGTCACTAGTTTTGCTGATGAACGGTGAATTTATACAGTAGCATCCTTGCAGAAATTGTGATGTTATTTCTGTATCCCTATTAAAAAAGTGCTTTGACATGAGACATAGTGGTATTCTGGGTATTAAAGAAATGTCATTGATCAAATACGATGTGTAGTTATAAATCATGTAGAGAGAGGCTTAATAGCGTAAACAGTTATTTGCTGCATTCCTCTATATAACAGATTCGGAGTTCTGACATGTGCATTTTTTAGTTTTAGCCATTATTGATTGAGAGCATGCGAGTGTGAGCACTACATTCTCATTAGAAATTGCTTAATGTAGAGGGGATTGCTACCTCGATACTTTGTACGCTTGATTAATGTACTTGGAAGTCAAACACTGATACACATCTATTTTCTTACACTATGATGGCCTGTTGTCAGTGACATTACAAATTTGCTATGGAGCGATGGGTGAGGGTTCATGTAAAAGCCACATGAAGATTAAATGAGTGTGTTTGTTGATGGAATGGCTAGGGCAGTGACAGAGAATCTTCGTGCATCTTGGGTAATGTGGTCCACAAATCTTTGCAGTCCCCATGTTAGCCATCACTAGCCAATCTTTTATATAAAAGAGTCTGGCACGATGGGGTTTATTCACTTAACATTGTGCTGTGGGGAGACGATAGCCAATGTTAACAATTAAGGTCAAAACAGCCCGTTTGGAATTTACTTACAGCTTGGCTATTTTTCCCTCATATTTTTTTTTAAACTTGATTGTCCATTACAAGTTTTAATCATTTTAATAATTTGAAAACAAAGGCAGGGGTTGTTAACTTTGAATATCCTTCTTTTGTTATAAATCCTTTCTTGGCATCCAGTTTCCATTGTACTGTTTGACTAGGAACTGGCTGAGGTTTCCCAGCAGAACCTGGACCTCCTTTAATTATCTCTGGGGAAATTATAGAACACAAGTTATATGAGTGAAGAGTAATTTCTAATTTAAATTAATGACGCTCTTGGTCATCGGTCAAAGACCTGTTCACAATGTCTGGCTAACTTTAAGGAAGAATTAATGAAAGCCATTTGTGCAAGTAAATGAAAGCCAGCAGTTTTCGCACACTGTAGGAACCAAAATTACTTCTTCTTAACTAAATAAAGTTGGGTCACGGATGCTGCACCAGTAGCCTTGATGTTGAAAATAATGCAGTTCTGATTACATTTTATTATTCACATAAACTAGTTATTAATATAGCGCCAACATATTATAGAAACTGGATATTTGAAAGCCCTGCTCGAACGAGCTTACAATCTGTAAGGATTTGAGGTAGGTAGTTATATAACCTAACGTTTCTTGTCCAGGGACACTTACTGGTAGGCTGGTTTGACCATTGCTCTAACCGGCCAATATATGGTGGCTGTTTATCAGGCACAAATAGATTCACTAAATGAATTTATTTTACATTTGTTATCCACATGTAAATGCCAGAAAGTGCTTGCCGCAGAGACTCGTGTATAGATAGTGCAGTTTGACACCATAAGTGTAACAATAAGTAGATTTCATTTTTAACTCTCTTTACATTCATATTCTAGCCATTTGTCGAGTGTGAAGTAAAGATAAAATTGTAGCACATTGAAATGGGACTTACATATCTGTAATGAAATGACACTTCTACGTACTTAGTTCTGGGTTTTCTGGAGTGGATTTCATTACCGCCGTTTACTGGATTGTTTTTTATGAGTTTATTACTATGCATGAAATCCTGTTTCTATACTTACCGCCTCTCTCTTCTCTACTCAAGTAGTTTCATTTAGGTTGCTGGGAATGTGATGGGGTAAAATGAATAAAGGTTATATATAGAGGCTTGTGCCTACACTGATGTACGACTTCCAGTAATTTATATTTCTATTCTTCCTGCAAGCACAGAAAAGACACTTTATTGCCAATATTGCGCTCAGATAAGCAAAATATGCATTATTTCTTAATTTGTTTCAATTCAATAAATATCGTATTATTTACAAGTGATTAGAGTACCCTCACATATCATAACTTTTGTTTTGAAATGTTTGCCAAATATACTTACAAATTAGCATAATTAGAATATTTCACAACTAAAAATTTTTGTCTAAAATCTGAATCAGCATTTTTCATTTCACCACATTTATTGTTTAGTAATAAAATGCAAAACGTCAGACTAATCTCAAAAGGTTTTATTTATAAAACATTAAAGGGGCACTTGGAAAATAACTATTGCTATAACTATAAGAATGGTTCAGATTTTCACAATATCTATGTCAATTACGTCTAACCAATATTACAATATTTCTTCTTCTGATATTAACGATAGAAAAAAAAAATACAAATTCAATGTATCATTGTAACTTTCAATGGGAGATAATGGTTGGTCGAGGGAGTTATGGAATAACATTTGACATAAAATGGTGAAAAATGATTATTAAACACTAATCTACCAAAATCTATAAATCATCGGTAACGTAATTTGTATCACTGATTCACCCCTCCAGCAAATCTGTCCATTCTTCCAAATTTCAGACATGTTGAACTTGGCAGGTTCTCATTACAGGTATATTCTACAAAATTCAGAACATTACAATTGACAAAGAATATCAACTACAATTAACGAGTTAAAATGCTGTTCAGGTCATAATCCTATGAGGTGCATCCAATCACTGAGCAAAATGTTGTGGTTAATCTGACGTCAAATTATCATGTTGATAGAAGTCAGGTTTTGTACCAGCTAAATGACACACCAACTGGACAGGCATCTGTACTAGTTGCTACATTTACAGACACGTCATTTAATATATTCTATTGGTAAACATAACTAGTTGTCATGAAGTTGAATTAGTATGGGCTCTATCAAGTTTAGCATTTTAGGTAGAATGAATTGTCTACATTGCAGCTCTAAGTTTGCCCTCAGTGGCTGTCTACCAGACAGCCACTAGAAGGCTTCCTGAATTGAAACGGACCTGTGGTCCGGTATCTGACGCTGGATGTTGGAGTCTCCTTACAGCCAAACCAGGCCCACAGGACTCCCCATCGAGTCCCAGAACCCCGGGGGAGCGACCCTGTGCCGAGGTGGGGGAAGCTCGTCGTGTTCCCTGCCATTTCCCAGTTAAGCCTAACCGTCTGTATTTACTTTGTTCTTTATCTCACGATCTGTTGTGCCCAGTTTTAGGGGTCTAGCGGGCCTGCTGCATTGCCTGCGGGGAAGAGGTCTTGGGTTACTGTTGCCGGGCACCCCCGTGAGGTGGTGGTTTAAGGCCCTTCCTAGTCTCCTTTCTCATCTCCACCTGGTGGTGAACTTGTTATCTTGCATCCGTACTATGCTACCTATTACTTCCCCCCCCCCCCGTCAGATCCAGGCAGGACCCCCCATGTCTATATTCTCGGGCCTCGTGGAGGAGCTATAAACCTCATGTCTACCTTCTCTCAGAAACAATATTAACCATAGTTCCCAGCCCCGGTTCTCCCTCCCCCTCAACCTCGTATTTCCTCCGTCCACCTCTAGCGGTGAGAGTGCAATATTCACAGTCCCGGTAGGAGTGTCGAGGGTGTATGCCTCTGTGCCCCTCTCCTCCATCTGGCGTTATGTAGTTAGGAGAGTTGTCCAGTGTCTCCAGGGCAGGCCTTGTTAAATGCTTCCCAATTACAAAGTAAAGGCTCGGAGTAATCCTGTTTAGCCTGCTTTTGCGTCACTTTGCAGGACATCTGGGCATGGGGAGTCTCAGCTTCAGGTCATAGGTCCGTTCTCCTCCCCATCAAAATAGGCTTGTCCCGCGATCTCACCCACCCAAGTCCCCATCTGCGACACCCTGATCATCCACAGCTTATCAGTGCCCTGCCATGGTAGACTGTATCGGCCTATACTATGGGCTATGACCCTCCTAGCGGATTCTTTGTATTTTGGAGGTGTTCCCCTCTCTCCTAGCAGGCCCTGTGTTGTAGCCTAGCTTAGGGTCCCCTTTTCCCCCTTCCCAAGTGTCCCGGTTGTTTCCCCTCTTCCCCCGTAAGTCCCCGTTTGCAATTGGGTGTCCGTGTCCCTAAGTGTGTGTATTGGACTCACCGGGCCCCCATCGACCCGTCCAGGCACCGACAAGGCTACTCCTCTGGGCCCTCCGAGCCCCCTCTCCGGTGCGGCGGGTCGTTTCGGTTAGGTGCAGCTTCTGGTAAACGCATAGGAGCCATATCTCCCAGTCCACATGTGGAAATGCAACAGATCACATCCCTGGCTTGTACCCCAAGGAGCTGCCTGAATAAGTCAATTAGTGTGGCTTGGAGCGGCTCTGTACCAGTCTCTGGTAAGCCGCGGACTCGTATATTATTGCGCCTGCTCCTATTTTTCAAGTCTTCCACTTGTCTGCGTAAGGTGAGTGGCATGTTACCTTGTCTGGTAACAGCCACCTCTGTCGCCCTGTGCTGCTCCTCACAGCCGTGAGCCGTTGTCTCCATTTCCTCCACTCGTTGTTCTAGCGCAGTTAGATCTGAGCGGAGGCCAGCAAGTTCTTCGCGTAGCACCACACGGGGTTCCTGCACCAGGGAGCCTGTGTCCGCCTTGGATAACATTCTGGTAGATATTTGGGTAAGTTCTGCCCGGATTTGAGCTAAGTCACTTGCCTGGGTATCCTCTGCCAGGGATTCCCCTGTGCTCTCCGAGCCTGGAGATGCGGGCGCCATCTTGGATGCGTGCTGTGGTCCTCTGAAATCCAACGGCTTGGCAACAAAATCGTCCATCAGTCCCGTGCACCTTCGAGGGTAGCTAACCCCTGCTGACTCTGGAGCTAAGTGCTTTTTAATCCGGACCATTATCTCCCGGGTTTTCGCTTATTTTAGCTGTTTTTTCCGGCCAGGGGTGCGGAGCTCATTCACTGTGCGTCCTGCACCATGCTCATCCAGGCCACGCCCGGCTGAAAGGGTTTTAACCCAGATCAATAAGATTGATGATGTCAGCAAGGGAGGCAGGGCTAGACGAGGCGAAACCAGTGCAGCAATGGAGAAAAGGTATGTAAAGTAACATTAACATCACAGACAGGGAGGACGGAAACCTAAACAGTTCGTTTGACACTGTAGTGTTAGGAATACATGTTTGCGTGTACTTGTCACACAAATTGATGTAAAAGAGTGTGAATTCCATCTGCACATTGTGCTATCAAAAAGTAGAGATTTGTTTAAAAAGTTAGAAAAAGATGTGGTTACTCCCCCATCTATCAATCATTTCTCGGCACAGTATGTATGTTGGTAACAGGCTAAGGAAGATAACCCTACTCTAGGTGTGTCTCCTGCTATATATCCAGCAACTACAACAAATACGCTGTAGTTACCATTATCCTGTTAGCGAGTGTGTCTCAGACTTTACTAGATGAATCCAAAAGTGGAATGACAGATGTCCCTCCATCTTGAAATGGATGTGCTGGGAATTAGGCCTTCACTTAACTTGTATGGGCTCCTGTGCCACTTGTCAAATCACAGGAGCTGCAATGTAACATTAAAACGTCGGCCTTGCCCTTACTGGGAGAGGTATCCCATTATACAGAGAAAGGGGCAGTGTAGGAGCACTGTTGATGTATGTGGCTCATCAGACACCAATAATAAAAAGCCGGAACAAACTGAGCAGGTCACCTAGTGTTTTGCCTCAGTCTGTTGTAATATATATTTATAGCTTTCTGGATTCGGACCCTTGGCCTGGCCTCGCTATCAGATTGTACCTTACTCTGAGTGTTGCTTCTCTGGTGTCAACATCCTGGGTTCCTAGCCTCCTACATCCCCAACCTGACAGAGTGTCAGTGCCCTGAGGAAAGGTGCCCTATTTGGGACAGTGTTTCCAAGATGGGTAAATTGAATACATCAGTGAAAGAAATAGGTGAGTGTGGAGGAGCATATGTTACTTTAAAGTGACAGGTTGTCAAGACATGATCACTTTAAAAGACACAGGGCAGTCATTAGCTTCTGATCTATGCATTCTCTAACTAATAACTAGTGATTGTTGTGAAATATATAAGAATGCAAATGCACCACTCTATTTCTTACATGTCTCTCTGATGCTCTTAAAACATAATTTCAGCAAAATGTGAAGCCGTTAAATATGCATATATGTCCCAGAGGTTTTATATACATGTATAAACTTCTCTCATAGTGCTATTTTATATTATAGCATAAAACATATTACTCATCCCATTAATACAGATAGTCTTCATAAGCACATACTTTGCGTAGTGAAAGTACATCAGGCGTTTATTTACTAAACTCTACAATATAGGGATTTGAACTCATGATTTAGACAAAATTCGGTGAATTGGAGAAATTCTCAAACTCAGAATTCACAGCTAGGCTATTTAGGCTTACCTTTGTTACATTTCAAAATGTTTATAACCGTGTTATTGCCAGATTCTAAGTGCAAGCAACACACACAAAAAATAAAAAATAAGAAACATACAAAGAAACTGAAACATGAATAATTCTAATTTATTATTAAATTACATAACAAAGCTTTCTTTTTTTATTACAGACAGAAAATGCACATTAGGTGCAAATATGGGAAATAATTACAAGAGCAATAAAATATAATTAGTTTCAATGAGCATTTGTAAAGCAAAATAAGAAAAGTGCCATCAGAAGGAAGGGGTTATATACAGGTACATACTTTGGATTTGGAAATTCTTTAACTGGGTAACACTTTAAATTGAGCTTGGTGAATAAATTAAGACAGTTCACAATCTAACTGTAAATTCAGAAAACATAGATCACTAAATTCCAATGTCACTAGGCAACAAACAATATGACTGTTTAAATGTCAGTTATATGGAGGACCAATGTCTCCTCTGAGTTGAGTCCACAGTACTGAAACCGGTAACTGTAAGAGATGAATACATACATGAGGTTTTGGCTGGAAAGTGATTGATTCTGATCAGCACTAGATCTGTCGTGGGTGAGATTTTCTCTAAGATGCACACTTGTTAAATTAATTTCAATAAACAGGTCTGGTTTGGAGACTTATGCTCCCCTCCCCCCCCCAAACTAAACCTGGAATTGACCAGGGAAGTTTTAAATATTAGACCAAAACAGTCAAACTGGAAAATAAAGGTCCAGCTAGCGTATTTGTCCTAAAATAAGCAATGTCCAGCCAACTTACACTTCGGTGAATAGCCTTTACATTTAAACCTAACCGTCCCCAAGTAAAATTCATATTGTAGACATTAAAAGGACTGTTTCTGTAAATATACTAAATGCATTTTGAAAACCATCTAAACTGTTTCAGAACTGGGAATCACTGCTTAAACAGATCTGGCATGCTTGGGAAGGGCAAATCAAATTATTCTCTAGACAAAATCTAAAGGAACCTTATTTGTACTCTCTTCCTAAGCTCCAACATGTTCACAGGCATAGCTCCTGTTTGAAACAGGTTAAAGTAAATTATAATGAATCTGTAGAATATTTAAAAGTTGTGGTAGAGCTATACCAGATTCCTGTACACATCCTACCAAGAGACACAGGCAACTCCCAAGCAGTTAAATATCCTGCAAGCGATCATAATCTTTTGAAAAACTAAAAATGTGAAAATGGCAGGATATCAAAAACCGCTAAGACAGTATGACAATGCATTAATAGTTTTTTGTGTGTTTTTAATTGAGTAAATACAGTGCTTGATCTACAAGTGAGACAGAGATTTGCAAATTATGTTACCTTGCATACCCTCATCAGGTGCACAAAGCGTTAATAATTGCAAACACTCTGGTTCAGGGCAAAAGCGATCTATTCTGAAGTTCTGCTGTAGATTGTTGTATATGAATAAATCAATAGCACGGTTGCTCACAAAACTGTAAATTGCTGCGAATTCAAAGTGATTTTTTATTTATTTTTTTTACACACCAAAGTAGCTGAAGTAGAAACATAAGATAAGGTGACCTGGAAAAGGTTTCAAATTCAACTACTTTAGCCTAGAAATTTCAATTTGTAGATCACAAATATCAACCCTCAATATGGATTTTCACCTCATTCATATAATTAAGCAAGGCTCAATTATCACCTGAATGACAGAATGGGAAGTGCATCTTAAAGCACATCTAATAAAAATAGATTTTTCCTGCATCCCAATTCAATTTGTATGGCTCTGTAGAACGTTCCTTTCAATTCCCTTTGCCCTCTTCACAAATTCTCTGTGAAATGAAAAGTTCATGTACAGGCACACAATGTAGCACTTCTCATTTGGTGGCTAACAGGGTTATTGCATGGTCCCACAATGGCGTGCATTAACAGTATACTGATAAACACCCTCACAGCCTTAAACAGTTGATAGGATTGAGAAAACAGATCTGTACAGAAATTTAAATCATAGTAAAACAAAGCAGCCTTTGACAGGACGAAAAGTAAGTTTCCGGATTTATACAGAACTATATTTTTTTAGGAACTCACAATAAGGTAAGGATCAGCAAGATTATTATTTTTTTTTAGCTTTTTTTTTTTTTTTACTGCCAAAACTCTGAGACCTATAAATTTTACTGAAAACCAAGGCTAAAAATAATAAAATTGGGGATTATGACAAAAGAGAAAGCTACCCAAAATAATTCATAAATTTGTGGATTTATCAACGGGCTGTATTTTGATCTCGTACAAAGCGCTGTACATTTGTGGGCTTGTGCTGACTTGTTGGTCCTTGTTTTGTCTAGAAATCCCATAAAGCTGGTTGTGATCTTCTTTACCACGGTCCATCCTACGAGCAGATTAAAATGTACATAGTCCACATTATAACAAAAAAAAACAAAAAACACAGCAGTAATGTATATGTAGCGATAAATTAACAGAGGAAAAAGAATGAATTTCAAATAAAAGAACCAGTATTATGACATTAAGACATTAAAATCTGTGATGACTTTCAGAACCATTATATGCACAAAGGAGATTCCTAGATTAAACATGGATTTACTTCTCAGAACCTCCATCATCTGCTGTATCTGCAAATACAGGATGGGTTCAGTAAAGGGTTAAATGACTGGTAGTATATGCCTGATTGGCTTGAATATTGATAATTCCCGTACAATGGAGATTATCAGTATAAAATGTAAATTCTTTTAAGATATCCCAATCCCTTATCTACAGGTGGTGGGCACAGAACCGCAGCTTTCACGCTCATCGCCGACCTGGTGTTGCTGCTTATGCTTTGGGGCAGAGTCTGTCAAGTGTCAGTCATCAATGGAAAGCGTACAGCAGCAGCAAGATAGTGCAAATGCCAATAACGGCGCCCAAGATGAGCGAATCCCGGCGCTTCCTCAGGTTGATTCTTTGGATAAGGTTGTTGACTGCCGGAAACCGATCTTTGTGCAGCTGTGTTAAGGCCTGTAACTGGAATAAATTAATAGTAACAGAATATAGCGCAGTAAGCTTGAGAGAAACACGTGTGTACCATTGTTTGAGAGAATACATTTAAAAACAGTTGGATGGTCAGTCTAAGCATTAGAACAACTTTAGCTTAATGAAATAGTTTTGGTGTATGCATGAGACTCACACAGTCTCCCTACACACATCCTGAAAACAGCATTGGATTGGACAGATATTAATAATCTTTATGATCTCACAGAAGGCACGGCAGATACTGTAAGGAGTAAAGGTAAGTTCTATGGCTGAATGCTCTGAATCTAATAGATATGAGGAACACACTCACGTTAAAAATAAATGTATTGAACACTAAAGTGTTCCTTTATGGTAAGTAGACAATGAAGTCTTTACTAATGACTTTCATGATGCGTCTTAGTCGGAGAGGGGCATGCTAGATAGTTGCTAAAATATTAACCACTTTGTCCAGATGTATCCTCATTACGGTGTAGTGTAATTATTAAACCCATGACATCTCTGTTCTTAATAGCGACCACTTCTCTCTCATTTATTAATCAGACAAGTACTCAGAGAAGTGATGAAAATGAGTAAGTCTCTTTTGGGAAATAACCTTTCCGTGAGGTACAATTATTATCCTGTATTAAAATATAAGCGGCATTACCAGGTGTTCTTATGGTTTACGTAAAAAAACAATAAAAATACATGCATAAATAAATAATCATTGTGATACCAAGACATTTCCCTGAGAATATGCATCTCATTTCTGAATTCAATGTGCGTAATGGAATTTGTTACATTGCTTTTAGGAGCCCTACGAGAACTATGCTCAGATTTCGTAATTGCTGAATAAGCAATTCCAATATATTTTAAAGGTATACTGCTGGGATACTCATTATCACTATTCCAATATATATGTATACTGACATCACTTACAAACTAACAGTGGAGAGACTGTAGACATGCAGACTCCATTGGGGGTCCTGTTAACTATAACCTGGATGAGTGCAAGTGTTTTTACTGATAAAAGGAATGTTCAAGTTCCCAAAACAGGTATTAGGTATCAAGTTATCAGTGATGGTGTAGAGTAGTGGTTAATAACTAGTGATGTAGAGTAAGCGATATTGGGAGGTCTTTACTTTTAGGGCAGCACCAGGACAGCTATGATTAGTGGGACTTACAGACCCATGCAGCAGCTAGTTCAGCTGTCGCCATTAAAATGGCACACAGTTACATGCTTCGCTTCACTGTTATATATCATATGTATTAGGCAGGCTGGAACATATTTCCTACATATTACAGGGAATAATGACACAGATGTCACCATCCAAGCAGTACAGGGCTAAAAAACAAGCAAAAAAAACCACCAAGATAACATTAGAAAAATCCATGTGAAGTTGCCTATTTAAGTAATGTTGAGTTGGTTGAACGATTATGTTTAGATTAGTTGACCTAGGTTCCGAACCATTTTGAACTTGGTACTACCACTGATCTAGAGGCCATGGAATGCTGCATTACAAGAAACTATCACTGTGTAAGTTCGGTTATAATATGTGGTTATTATTAGTAAATATGTGCTGAGGTTCTCAGTTTAATTTAAAAAGCTTGGGCTCACTGAACTACAAATGGTAATTTATTTAAGCTCTGATTCTAATTATGCATTATAATCAATATAACAGCAGTGAATCTAATATTTAAATATACAAATTTAAAATGTACATAATACATTGTGTGGGTGCTACTTTGTCTGATTTTGAAATATGAGTGCTCATTAACAGGCTTTAGCTTGTCTTATCATACGCTGCTTATTGACATCACGTTACAGGCTTTGTAAGAAATACATCAATCAGTGTCTAGTTTGTATCCAGTGTGGTCAAATGAACTGAAAGATAACCCTTTTACACTCTCTCTCTCTCTCTCTGTATGTAATGATGTTTAAATTGTTTTTTTTTTTAATCCATCATTTTCACATATACATACAATCTAGCAAATACTTCAAAATACTCTGCAAACACCAGGCACTGGATCTTCCTCAAGGACAGCCTTGTTTTAGAAGTATAACTTTTACTCAGGCAAAGCACCACAGGGGTTTCAGCTCTAAAGCAGTAGAGGACACAGGCTAGCAACGTCTGATGTGAGTTGCAGTTTGGTAACAGCTAGAGGTTCCCAGGACGCGGAAGGAAGTAAAACACACATGCTGGCTACCACTGCAAATCTCATGACACAACACACTCACAAAGCACCATGGGAGATGCAGTTCTGAAAAGAAGTCAATATGCTGGGCTAAAACAATTACCTAGGTGAGAAAAAATAAACAACTCAAAATAACTCTTCGCAAGCTTCAGAGGGGTCAAATCCAACTCAAATGTAAAACACAATTTAAAAATTAACAATGTGATCCTTTTTTCTTACCATATTGTCCATATTAATAATGTGTGAGACTTACAGTATAGCCATGGAAAGGGCACTAACTGTGCAATTGTTTTACCATTATCCTTTTTTAAACACACAAGTATCAGCTAAAGAAAAAAATAAAAATAAATCATTTTACATATTAAACACTAAGTATTCTGACACTGCAGGGTCTACATCACTGCAAAATGCATCATGTATAAGGATACTGGCCAAGGTATTCATTCTGCTCTGTATGGATTTCAGAAACCCCCTCTGTGACGTCATATTTTCTTTAGTTGCCATTGCAATGCTGGTAGGAAGAAAAAGAAGAACAAATAAAAGACGTTAAATACAGGGTTATGATAAGTATACATTTTCTTTTTTAAGTGTTCCAATTAACTTATAGAACAGTTTGACTTCTTACCTGGCACCTCTCCCCACAACCACTAGTAAAAACGGACAGCCGGACATTCTCTGTCTGAGCCAAGCCCAGCTCGTTGGCACTTAATTTCAGACGTGTCAGACTGTTTGTAATTGGTTTGACAGATTACAGGCAGACTGCGCCCAGTGTCTCTTTTTGTACCATAACAACTGCATTGTGCATAGTGTGTGCCTTTAATACCCTGTAATTACCCGGTGCACTTACATGTATATATTATATATTTTGTCATTTAGATTTCATTGACAGATGAAGAGAGCACCTCCAAACACACAAAGGATATCACAGAGAGGAGGGGGAAAAACCTGGCCATAATAAAAGTGATCCCACTAATCAATTCTTCCCAAGGTTGTGTCCGTTCCTTCTATAAATTATAGCGGCTCTCCCTTTAACTTTTCTACTGCACGGAGAGCACAACTGTGTCCCTGTCTTTATAACGTTCATGCAGGCTAATCTCTTCATGGTTTATTTACAACACTCTGAAACAGCTCATGACAAATTACATTTCAATGGATGAGAACACTGGAACAAGGGAAGACTGAAAGCCATACAGTGTTATGTCTTGGGGGAATCGAACTATTCTTGCTTTCACTTATAAACGGAAGCTCAGGTACAGAACCATGCCATTAAATTATATAAAGAGAGCAATGCGTCGTTCGTATTACAGTAACTAAAATAATAAGTACATGAGCACACTCTGGATATTGTGTCCTGCATTATAGCCCCACTCCTGGGCACAGGCTTTCTAACCGAAGAAAATAAAAATCCCAATTGTGCCAAAAGCGGACAATAATTACAGTCAAGCTCTTCCCTGCTGTAGTAAATGACCTAAATCAAATGTCTTCCTGAAGCCTTTCACTGCCCAACGCTTATTCACAGGGTAAGTCTTTGCTGTGTCCCTGGACTCATTACAGCAGTTATCATTCTAGCTGAACAGGTCGGCCTAGCTCAGATGCAGAGTGCTGCTGGGTTATGTAAAGATCACCCCAGAGACACAATTAGAAAACCTCATTAGCAATATATCCTGGGAGTGAGTGCTTTTAACATTTGAGAAGCACAGCTCAATACGTGAGCAAAGCACAATTCTTGCAGCTATCGGGAGTATATATATCATGGAAGGGGATGGCTTTACATTCTGCAACAAAAGAATGTGTAACTTTCACATGAAAATGGGATTTGCGAAATAAAAAAAGGGGGGATGTTCTTTGCACAGTTTGGGACTGGAGTGGTTATGGGTAGCATACATAATAAGCTAAACCTTAGATGAAGTCAGATAGAAGCAATTCCCAAAAGCAAGTTGCAAACAGCTACTCAAGAACAAATGATATGTGACCATTTAGCATCTTCATTGGCATGCAGCCGGGAATTATTGAACATTTAAAGTAAATTAACTTTTGTTCCTTGTAAGACTGGTATGCGCTTCTTTCGAGAAGGCGTTACAGCTTTAAAACGCTACAATCACAATGTACAAGTTGCAGTCAGCTAGAATGATAAAAGGCATCAGCCACCATCGGAAAGATTCTTCATTTGTATGAATGAAAGGCATATAGTTTGTGACCAAGAAAACCAGGATACAAAGAACAGCAAATGCACAGATCTCTTGGGCAAGGAACTATGTCCATTAGCTGGTATTCTGACTACAGAGACTTCTACTAAATTAATATATTATACATACCAGAAATATTATACATCATATTATACATCATATTCTACATCATATGTCAAAAGCAATCCACGATTATATTTCTTTATCAATTACCAATAAATGTCTAGCTGCGATGCAGAGCTCATTGTGGTTACACATTAAAGGGACACTATAGGCACCCAGACCACTTCAGCTCATTGAAGTGGTCTGGGTGCAATGTCCCATGTCCCTTAACCCTACAGAGGTAATTATTGCAGTTTCTGAGAAACTGCAATAATTACCTCTGAGGGTTAACTCCTCCTCTAGTGGTTGTCTACCATACGGCCACTAGAGGGACTTCCAGAATCCAAATGGACCTTTGCTCTGCATGAGAACCTCCAGCGTCAGATTTTTTTGCATAGGAAAGCATTGAATAATGCTTTCCTATGAGGAAATCCTAATGTGAGCACGGCCATTGCCGCATATGTGCATTAGGTTTTAACCCCTTTAGCAGCGAGGGAGGGGGCACTGCAGGATTTTACAGTGCCAGGAAAACGGGTTTGTTTTCCTGGCACTATTATTGTTATTATTGGTTATTATTTATATAGCACCAACTTATTCCGCAGCACTTTACAATAAGAGGTAGGGATCGACCAATATTGATTTTTTAGAGCAGATACCGATAACCTAAAATCTGTGAATTTTCAGGCCGATATCTTACCGATATTCTGTACATTTACCATTTTGAAAAAATAAATTATTTCTAAAGGTAAATGCACAGAATATACATGCCACATGTAGTGGATGCAGTGTGTTTAGACAGGAGAGCTGTGTGTGTTTGTGTAGTTTGTGTCTAGTGAATGCAGTGTGTGTTTGTGTAGTGTGTATATAATGAATGCAGAGTGTGTGTGTGTGTGTTTCTGCAGGCATGTAATTTGTGTAAAATGGAGGGTGGGGGGATGCTTTTAAAAAAAAAAAAAAAAAAATTAAATATTGAAAATTTAATTTATTTATTTTTAGTCCTCCATGCTTCTTACTTGGCCAGGGAAGGGGGATATGGCATTCCCTGGTGGTCTGGTGTCACGGACTGTGCAGTGGGGGCCTGCAGCAAGCTCTTCCCAGCAGCTCCCTTCAGCTCCCCTGTGTAAATCTCGCGGCCAGCGTGCCTTGCAAAGCGTTGCCATGGTAATCCGTGGGACTCACAAGATTTAGACAGGGGAGCTAAACGGAGCTGCTGGGAAGGTAAGTAAGAGCTTGCTGCGGGCCAGTCATGGGCCCGGCGTTCCTGGTATGTATTATCAGCAATATCGGTATCTCTATAGGCAGATACCGATATTGCAGAAAATACCGAATATCGGATAATAATATCGGCCAGAAAAATAATCGATCAATCCCAAATTAGAGGAAAATTTACCAAATGAGACAAAAACAAAATGTAACAGGAACAATAGGTAGATGAGAACTTTGCTCAAACGAGCTTACAATCTAGACAAGGTTGGGTATGAAAACCCAATAGGAAGGGTATTGAGGGAGACAGCAAATAGACATGGTGGGAAAGAATCAGAACTGGAGGTGAGAGTAGAGTGTGGCCCTTTAGGGAAGAGCAAGAGGAAGGTTTGAGAGATGGAAGTTACTCTTGGAGGCCATAAGCAATCCTGAAAAGATGGGTTTTGAGAGACTTCTTTAAGGATTGAAGACATGGGGTGAGTCTGACAGGGGTAGGCAGGCTGTTCCAAAGGAAAGGAGCAGCCCGTGAGAAGTCTTGCAGGTGTGAATTTGCAGTAAGGGTGTGAGCAGCAGACAGGAGAAGGTCACCAATAGAGCGGAAACACAGAGGGGCCATACCTATGACTCAGTGAAGAAATGTAAGAGGAGCTAGAGTTGGTTTGGGCTTTATAGGTAAGGGTTAGTATTTTTAATTGACACCTATAGGGTACAGGAAGCCAGTGTAAGGATTGACAGAGGGGTGAGGTGTGAAAGGAGCGACAGGAGAGAAATATCAGCCTGGCAGCAGCATTCATCACAGATTGTAGGGGGGCAGTAGGCTTCTGGGGAGACCAATTAGGAGGGAATTACAGTAATCAATGCAAGAGATTACTAGAGCATGAACAAGCTCCTTGGCAGCATCTTGCATAAGAAAGAAGCGTTTGCAGGCAATGTTTTTAAGCTGGAATCGACAAGTTTTAGCAACAGACTGGACATGAGGTGCAAAGGTGAAGCCAGGATCAAAAGTGACCCCAAGAACCCTCAGTGTTATGAGGAGGAAAAGTAAGAAACTCAGTTTTAGAGAGATTGAGTTTCAGAAACCGAGAGGACATCCAATCAGAGATAGAAGAGAGGCAATTGGTGACACGTTGTAGGACAGCAGGGGAGAGGTCAGGGGAGGAGAGATATATCTGGGTGTCGTCAGGATTCAGGATACAGGTGGTAGTGGAATCCATATGAATTAATGAGTTTGCAGAGAGAGGCATTATAGAGAGAGAACAAAAGGGGACAAAGAACTGAACCTTGAGGGACTCCCTTTATTCGTACAATGTAAAACATTCCAGTTTTTCAGAAGTTGCAATGTTTGCCTCTAGTGGTTGTCTTTCACACAGCCACTAAAGGCACTTCCTTGATGTACATGGAGTTTAACTCAGTTAGAACGACGCTTTGCATGAGAACGTCCAGCGTTGATTCAATGTTTCCTATGGGGAAAGCCTAACACGTGAACACACTTGCTGTGCATGCGTGTAAGGTTCCTGGATCGTGCTGACTTCGGAGGAGGTAGTATTTTTGAAGCTTTTATTTGCCAGAGTGGGCTGGGGAGGAGGAGGCAGTGGGACACTATAGTGTTATTTGTACAGTTTGTATTCCTAACACTAGAGTGTTCCTTTAGCCTTTACTATTTCACTGGAAGGCAGTGAAATCTGATACCCATAATACAGGTTACCAGCCATACAATGCAGCCAAAACCTGTGTGTCATATAATATACATATATATATATATATATATATATATATATATATATATATATTTATTATATATAAACAAAATAGGTATCTTGGCACTCACCCTCTCCAAATTAAGTTAATTTATGCCTGAGTGCAATCCCACGTTGTAGATATATAGGAAGATAACGGGTCGAAACGTCGGTCATTTTTTGATGTATCACTTATTGGAATAAATCCTTTTATATTCACCTAAAAAGCCCTGAGAGTGCATCTCTTGAGATATATATATATATATCGAGATGCTTGCACTCCTGGATTAGAGAGTAATTGCCCGGTGCTGGTCAGGCACAAGATACAAATAAATGATTGGAAATGACCGCACTCCAAGGACTTGATGATAGTAAAAATAAAATATAACGTTTATTCTATATTATTCTACGTATTGCCATCCTGATGAAAGCCCATGTATTGGGGCTGAAACGTCAATATTTTTAAATGATATAGAATAAAAGTTATATTTTATTTTTACTATCATCAAGTCCTTGGAGTGCGGTCATTTCCAATAATTTTATATATTTATTTGCAGGTATAACAAATCACAAATTTTTACAGGGTCTCATTCAAGTTCTCAATACATTAGTAGGTTGTAGAGTTGAACTAGGTTAGAATCAATTTAATAACAGCAAGTAATATATATAAAGCTTTTCATTCCTAAAAACAGTGTGAATGGGTTCTAGAAGGGGGGAGCACATTTGAGGGGTGATTTCAAGATTCTAATCTTTAGGTGAATGAATAGCTGAAGGTATCAAAGACTCAAACTCATGGTAAAAATATCAGGCCTTATTTGCACCTGTGGCCCAGCAAGCGTAACACCATAAATAGGCAAAATTTCAATTTAACTAATTGACAATCTATGCAAAGGCATGACTTAATACATGAAACATATTGCCTTTAAAAATGATAATCCTGTGTAACATTCTACTGCATGTGCCCCATAATCACCAGTTCTATCTATTTATTTAAAACTTACTACCACTTTTAAACAATTCTTATTGGATATGGTCCTTCAGAACCATAAACGATTTATCACATGTAAAGTAAACTGTGCCGTCTAGGAATGCACAGCTATTCATTTTCTACAAGATTTAACTGGACAAAGAGGGACACTACGTGATAGGGAGTGTTGCCAGGACAGGGTTGTTATGAGAAAAAGTATATATCGTAAAGGAACACTATAGTCACCAGAACAGCTACAGCTTATTGAATTTGTTCTGGTGAGTAGAATCATTACCTTCAGGCTTTTTGCTGTAAACACTGTCTTTTCAGAGAACATGCAGTGTTTACATTACAGCCTAGTGATCACTTCACTGTCCTCTCCTCAGGTGGCTGTTAGAGATCCTTCCTGGGTCATGGCTGCCTAAAATGCACCCAAACATTCAGTATCTCCTCCCTCTGCATGCAGACACTGAACTTTCCTCATAGAGATTCATTGATTCAATTCACCTCCATGAGGAGATGCTGAATGACTAGGGCTGTGTTTGACTTGTGCTGGCTCTGCCACTGATCTGCCTCCTTGTCAGTCTCAGCCAATCCTAAGGGGAAGCATTGTGATTGGATCAGGCTACCACTTCTGCTGATGTCAGCAGGCAGTGGGAAGGTCTAAAGGAAACAGTGACAAAGCATGCAGCTTCAGACTTAAATACTAGTAAGATTTTACTATATTTAGGGAGGCATGAGAAGTTCAGGGGGGCTAGATGGTGGTTTTAACCCTATAGGGTCAGGAATACATGTTTGTGTTCCTGACCATATAGTGCTCCTTTAATAGTAACAAATTATACATCGAAGATACAATCTAGAACAATACATCTTATTTACGCAGACTGATTTCTAAATACGTTTATTGTAATTTAACCCTTTAAGGACAAAGGCAATTGTCTAAGTTCTGAACCAAAACAAAACCTAGAATTTGCTCTGTGTGTTTGTTCAACCATAATTTAAGGGTTTCTCATTAAGTGCCCCATACATATTACATATTATATATTACTTTTTAAAGGCCAGAGATGGCTTTCATTTGATATCTTATATGTAACACCACAGTGTAATTAAAATGGATATAAAAAAAAAAAAAAAAAAAAACACATTCTCACATATTCCGTTTAACTAAAGAAAAAGAACTAAAAATATGTCAAGGATTTAAAAAACATTTTTGGTAACTAATCTTAACCATTTACCAACCTCACACCTAATGCTTTACCAACCCAAAGCTTACACTAACACAGTAAAGTCAAGGTTGCCATCAGGGGGTGACAACCATGACAGTTGCCAAAGGCCCGGTGGTCCTGGGGGGTCTGGCCGACTGGGGCCCATGCACTGAGGGCCACCCGATGGGCATATGTCAGTGTGGTGGTCCTTTAATAGCAAGACCAGCCCCTTTCAAAATGGCAGTCCCAGCCAGTGCTCTAAGGAAGTGACAGTCGGTCATTTCGCCTAGCTTACTCAGTGCGGGAGGGAGGAGGCAGAGCGGAGGAGAGAGCCAGCTGACAGACTGACTCCCAATAGCCCAAGTCACCCTTCTGCACCCAAAAGGTAAGAAACAGGGTAATTATAAATGGAGCCTGCTCCCCAGCCCATTACCATTTGATGGATGTTGGGCAATTAGCAAAGCCCAGCACTGATGACAATTGACCGCAGACAGGCTCAGAGATCCTGGGAGGTTACCCCGAAGCAGCATGCGGCACATAAACACAGTGACTAGGCATGACCTCTCAGCCACAGTAATGAAGTTAAAGGGCTCTAAGTAATGCTGCTTAGCTCTCGTATGTTAGTCAGGGGCCACTAAAAATGTCTCCATCTGACAGAGGAGAGACCCAGGTATCATTGATAAATGGAACTTCCTGGTGTAAGCAGGACAATCTCACACCACAATCTCTTTATAGGCATTTAAACCCCTATTTAACCCCTTAAGGACCAAACTTCTGGAATAAAAGGGAATCATGACATGTCATGTGTCCTTAAGGGGTTAAAGAGCTGCTTGCTGCTCATCAGAAAGTCTGGAACCACCAAAAAGGGGCCCCAGCTGACAGCAGAGAGCATCACAAATTCACTGATACCTGGGACTCCCTGGTATAAGCAAGGCTTTAACCCTTCTTACATCAGGACGAGTCACATCCTAACTGACATGTCCTAATGTTGTTAAAGTGTTAAAGACACTGAGTATTATAGTCGTGGAGCTCTGCTATAAACTAAATTACACCTACAATATGGAGCTCTTTGAAAAGAGGGGCATTAGAATAAGAAAGAGGGGGAGAGGAAGTTGAGCCCCAAATAGGGAATGTCCCTCCTAAATAGGGACACTTAGGAGCTATGACTTGAGATTTTACTTAAGCTTGAACTTTGCTATTGCATCCAGTCATGTATGAGCAAAAACTGACCAACATTTCCTTGGGAAAGCCCCAACTCTACAGGCAGGGGATGAAATGACTGATTTGCTAATAATTCACAGGGCATTCTGCTCGAAGTTGATACAAAGACGATGCATTATACCTGTTATGGTAATGAGAGGCTATGCTCCGTTGTGGAAGGCTTTTAAATCTATGAATCACTTGGGCTATTAGGAGAACTTCCGCTCATTTATGAGTTACATGAGGGAAATATTCCCTCAGCTAGGGAAAAATGAAACAGAAAATTCTAGAACGCGCTAGGATCTTTTAACAGCTCATGTATGATGGATATAACCGAGCTATATTATTATACAGCATTGCAGTGAGCATTGTGGAACATTTGCTGATAATTAACAGTTAATGAGAGTGTGGCAGCACTGACTGATTAACCTCAGATATGGATACCAATACACAAAATAGTGAGCTGTATCTTCTTTCACATTAAAACTTGTGATTTTTGTCTTTCCATTGCCCTTTTCATCTTTTACAACTTTGTCTTCCACTTCAGATTCAACTTCTCCCATTTCCTAACAAAAATTTCCAGTCATTTCAATTTATTCCATGTTCCAAATTTCATGCAATTGCTCTCTCCCTGCTTAAACCTTGTGTCATTTCATTTGCCCTCTGCTCCATCCCTTACTCCTCCAGCTCCATGTAATATCTTTATTTAAACATCATCTTATCTTACATTTCTGTCCTGGACATGTATTATTATTTTTACTCATTCCATCACTTCCATTTCATCTGCCTCTCCATGGTGTCTTCCTTCCCTCGAATTTTAACCTCTGCCATATCTACATTTAATGGAGACTATTTATAGGGACACTACACTGCCTAAACCCAAACAAAATAAAAATCACTGTTTAGTAGATATACCCTCAACAGAAACTTACATGCATTTTATTATGCATTTTTCATTGGGGGTATATCTAAAACAGCTTGCAAAAGCTGCAGATCTCTTGTCTGTAGCCCTTACAAGTCCCCTCTTCTAACCTCACCCAGTCTTTAAGTGGCTGTCCAATCACAGACTTTCCAATACAGCTCAATGAGAAGTAGTTGTAAGTTGGGTGCTCTTGCCTCTTGAGTTAAGCTCCACTGAGTTAAGCAAACCAGAAAGTGCAAGGCACGGTTGTCTGAACCTGGGGGGTGTAACCACGTTAATTTGGAAAAAAAAAAATTGTGACTTCATATATGAACTTTTTGTAAAAATTGACACACTCTCCCCAAATAATGAACTTAAAGGGAAACTATAGAAACAGGAAAACAAAGCTGTTTTCCTAGCACTATATCTCCCTATAGTGTCCATCTCCCTACCTGTGCTACAGAAGGTTTAAAAAAAAAAAAACAACCTTCTGTCACTTACCTGAGTCCAGCACCTATGTCCCTCAGCGCTGGCTCGGGTCCGCTCCCCCCCGGTCGACATCAGGATTAGAATTTCCCCACAAGAAAGAATTATTCAATGCTTTCCAATGGGGATTCCGGTGGCGTTGGAAGTCCTCATGCATAGCCTAACAATCCTGAAGTCACTCTAGCGACTGTCTGGTAATCAAACACTAGAGGAGGAGTAAACCCATAAAGGTAATTATTGCAATTTATAAAAAAAAAAAAAAGAGAGAAAAAACTGCAATAATTACCTTTCCAGGGTTAAGGGTTCTTGGACACTGCACCCAGACCACTTCAATGAGGTGAAGTAGTCTGGGTGTCTATAGTGTCTCTTTAATAAATCTAAAGTGCTTTACGGGTCTGGAGAGTCCCTTTAACTCTGCTCCTTCATCATAGGTCAGGCATAGGTAACCTTCGGCACTCCAGATGTTTTGGACTACACCTCCCATGATGCTTAGCCAGCATTATGGGTGTAAGAGCATTATGGGGGATGTAGTTCACAGCATCTGGAGTGCCGAAGGTTGTCTATGCCTGTCATAGGCACTCCACCTCTTCACAAACTCTAAGAGCAATTAACAGTGTTTTTGACCATGCATAACATCGATGCACATCACTTATTTGCATATTGATGGTTGGCTATTGGCTGAGTGCAATCAGTAATTATGACTAATGATCTGAGTCTTTTTTTTTCTAAATCTTTCCTTATTAAGACAGATTGCAATGTGGTACAGAAAAGAAAAGGAGTTTTAGCAAATATACAGTAATCAGCAACAAAACTATTAAGCATACTCCAGTTTTGGCGGTCTCATTTTTTAAAAATAAACATACTAGCCATAAGCACCGTTCTACTTGGTTAGTATAAGAATAAAAATAAATACAATCGCCGTGACATAGAACTGTGGATAAGGTCTAAAGATATAATACCACTGGATTCTGAGCTTTAACTAATACAAATGACAGACCACATCAGCAAAAATTGAATTTTCAGTAACTTTAAGAAAGATGTTCAGCCTATGCCTTTTGAGCTGCAAAAAATGGGGAAATAGGAAGAGTTCTGTCATGCACACCACATCTACCTCAGAATGAGCAGCACCTAGAGTCCCACAAATCAGCTCCCCACCAGCCCCAGACTCTGTAACGATCAGGCACATTTATCTCACGTTTCTCAGCAATGGTTGCGGATGGGACCGGAGCCCGAGAATTCCCCTCAGGCTGCCTCCTTTTGAGTTGAGTGTTGGTCACTGGAGCAGGTGAACTGAGCCTAAGAGAATGCCCCTTCATGGACCGTGATCCAGGTGCATAACGAGGATGCATGGCACAGGGCGGTCAGCGAGTATATGCTTTTCCCAGCACTTTCCTACGTTTCCACAATGTCAGCGGCACAGCAAGGCCTCTCATAGCAGACCACAGTTTCACATGACACTTGCAAGGGCCTAGCTGAGCCACAGCAGTTGCTGGAGGTGTCACTGCTCTACGATTGATTGTGATCCAGAGTTGCGACCAAAGTCACTCAAAGGTGCGGCAATACGGTCTTCACAGAAGGCCCCTGCTGCAGGCAGTTGATGTACTGCCAGCTTCCCTCTGGCTGCCATCTTGGAGCGCACGCTGAAGGGGGTCAGCTTCGCAGGATCTGTCGGATTGTGTAACTGTAATCAGGTCAGTACTACAGTGGTGACCGGGAAAATTCTTTTTAGGACATAATTTATAACCAGTTAAATATATTTTAATAACGTTTTACAATAAAGATCACTAATGGCTAGGATTTGGCACGGTTTCTTTTATCAATCATGCTTTCCATGGTGCTCAGCAAGCTAGATTCTCCTGAACATCTACAAAGATCCATTTTAACCATAAGATCCTGTAGAAATGTGCTAAGAAGATACATTGCAACTACTTTTAGACATACAAGGAAATCAGAAAATGTCAGCATCTAGAATTTGGTGGTAAACAAACTAAAGTACAGCATCATCGGACACACAGCTAAGTTACTGAGCCTTTCTCATTCAAAGTATCTTAAGGTCTGACATTTTTGCCTCTACATGGCTTAGGTATAACAAGCTCCACATTGAATGCTACCTCTAAGCATGAATAAACACCTACTCCGATATTAAAAATGTGAACTCCTACTTTATAGCCTTATGGGAAATGCAGTCCACAACAGTTGCGCCCTCAAACCATCCATCGATACAGCAAATGTGAGATTTTTTTTGGAAGCAAGGCATGAGGAATAAATTCAGAACTTTAATTTAATGCCTGGAGAAACCTTGCTGATCAGTGAAAAACAGAAATGATGATGACTGAAGGAATACATTTTGCATTCAAGTAATTAAGATATCTAGACTGACAAATGTTGAAGAAAGATCAAATACACTTCTTGGTGGGGCTGTTCAATCTATTTTAAAATGGCAAGCATTTCAATACCGTGTAGAATTGGTTGTTGTCATGATGTAAAATTGGCTAGTTGGATATTGATTGATTACCATGTGTGGTTAGTCCACTTCCTACAAGATAGGAAGGCCATGAGATATGGTTATGCGTGTGCAATGTTTATGATGTATATAAAACTCTACAGGAAGAGCACATGCATTTATTTCCAGGAGAATTAGACTAGGAACTTGCTTTAAAAGCAGGTGGAAAACTACTACACAATAAAAATAAATCTCTACATTGTGTTGGCATATTTTCAATCAATTTTACAGATCACTAAATTGATTAACCCCTTATGGAGCAAATGCTACATTTTACCATAATCTCAGTACCTCAATGGCCAGCACGGAATTCCCTGTTTATTATTTATTATGCTATGCAGCCTTGCAGTCATTAAAGGGTGAGCCAAAAAATTGTAAGCACTTTGCATTACTGCACCCTGAATAAACTTGTAATATTATTTCTCACCGTGGCTTATACTGGCAGAGATGTTTACAAAGCACAGACAGAGCATGGTGGTCAAAAGATTGTCCAAAAACAAACAAACAAAAAAAACCGTGTTAGGCCCCCGGCTCCACCTTAAATAAGCATAAACCGTATCTTATATCCAGCACTTCTTGGGTCCCCCGGAGCTGGCTCCACCCCCGCTCTGCCTCCCTGGCCGAAGTCATCAGAATTGACGGCCTCAGCCAATCGAGTGCTTTCCCATAGGAAAGCATTGTAAGGCTATTGTGCATGCGCGGCAAAATGTGCCAATCAGCATCTCCTCATAGAGATAAATGGACTCAATGCATCTTTATAGAGAAAGTTCAGCACCTCCATGCAGAGTGTGCACTGACCGAGGAAGCCCCTCTAGTGGCCTTTGAGTAACTGCCACTGGAGGTGACCCTAGGCAGTAATGTATACACTGCCTTTTATCTGAAAAGGCAACATTTACATAAAAATGCCTGCAGGGACAGGCAGTAGACACTATAACCACTACATTAATTTAGTTGTTCTGGTGACTAAAGAACATTTGTCATGACAGTGTAAAACCAGGGGTCCCCAAAAGGTAGATCCCCAGATGTTGTAGAAATACAATTCCCATGATCCCATACATTTAGAATGTCTTTAGAATTCTAAAACAGCCTGGAAGCTGTAGGTTTAAACCATTTGAGGATCTACCTTTTGGGCACCCCTGGTGTAAACAATGGCCTGTAAAGGGTTAATAATGTTAATTTGTCCAACCACCAAAACCCCCTCCTGACACATGAACAACGAAGATAATTTATGATTGGTTAACATTTTTTAATCCACTGTTAAATTTGCACACCATAATTCTACTTTATTCAGCCTGCATATTATCTTGGGTCTGCCTATTATCTTTCAATTAAGAAGCAGAATTAGAGTTAGATCGCTAGTAATTTGACATGAAGTCTAGTGGGGCCTCTCAGAGATCTGCTACCATGTAAAATTATGCCCCTTGTTGTCGCTGGCCTAAGGTTTTTCCACCCTTCTGGCTTACTAAGAACAGTATTTGCTTTGTGACCAATCTACTGGGCATTGGTTTAGATATCAAGCAATTATTATCAAATAATATTCTTACCTTATAGTTTCTTCTATCAGACGATCAGAACTGCAAAACAAAAAGCAAAAGGTTAATAGTTACCTTATAAATGAACCAACAGGTAACTGATGCAACTTCATTAACAAATTGTAAAATATTGTCAATTCCATTTATCAGGCAGTATACTACACTCTTGTATAATTAAGTTAGATACCCATTGTTCAGATACAAACAGCAACATACAGAAAGATATATGTAGAGTGAATAAACACAAGCTCAAGTTACACAAACATCATGTGAGCTAGTTTAATTTGATAATGACGACTTTCAGTTATGGGGTAGTTTTATTACAGTTGTTAATTCTCTGATAGATGGCATAGGAGAAGTGTATGACTTGCCCTTTTAGCAATTATCAGCTTAATTGTAATAAATGATTAAACTCAAATGGAAGAAGAGATGGAGAGCCCATTAAACCTTAGAAGCAAAGTTGTTTTCCATATAGAAAGGATCACACACTAAACCGTTTAACCCTTTTCATTTTTAAAAGCCTATTGTGACAATGCCAAGTGATAAATCCAATCTATGGGCATCAATAAAACAGACATGTCAAACAAATAAATGTGGACTTGCCATCTGAAAATCTGTTTCAGGTGGGTTATAAAATGGAATCTATACATTGGCTAGTGCAACTGCAAAGTATACATTAAAGGACTATTTGTTTGTGTAAATTGCTGCACTCCTACACTGCACCGGCAAAATAATAAAGGGGGGGAGGGGGGGGGGCAGGGGGGTCAGCAGCCCACCAGGAACAACAAGAAGGAGAGTTCCACATTGTGACGCCTGTGGAACTCTACTTCGTAATTAAATACATGTGTGTTTCTATTGCGGGCATATCTACTAAAATGTGATTTTTATTTTGTTATATTTGGGCAGTTGAGTGTCTCTTTAAACTTCAGTTATGGGATTCATTTTCCTCTGCTCATATTCTGGAGCCACGAGAAACTTGGCCATAAACCAAATATTGGTAGTATATAATCAAACACACATATCAATAGGAAAGCAGAATCCTGTATAAGCACATTCAACAGTAGAGTGCAAGCGACAGCCTCTAAAAGCCTTAAGCTATCATATTACAAACGTGAGCTAAAACTGCGGGGAGATAACAAAAGTCATCACTTTTATCACATCATACACATGTAATAGACATTTAAAGATAAGTCATTAAGGGGATTAGAGTTAACATATTGTACTATTAGGGACTAGGAAATGTCACAACATATGGAAATTGGCAATTACAGTCTAAATATCGCCTAGTCATAAGATTCTCACTGGATGTTTCACTTGTATTACTTGGAGAAGACAAAAGTAGATGAAAGTCTACACAGAATGGAAAGGTCAGGGAAGCACTGCTCCCAGAAATGCCTTTGTGTCAAAATAAAAAAAAATAAAAAGTTCAGGAATAGCAGAAATATAGACCTTTGTCTATAGGAAACAAACATATGTCCAGTTCGGATAAAGTCTGAATAATTTTTTAAAATTTTTTATATAAGAAGATACATTGCAAACCACATATTGGTTTTCTACTTACCGTTTCACATCAATTTTGCAACAGTTACACTGATCAAAGGCTAAGATTAACTTTCACAGCCTAAATATTTAGTTCTCCACGGTGAGGTTTTTTTTTTGTTGTTGTTGTTTAATTCGCCTTTTCTTTACTTTTTGATACAAAGTTTTTGCAAGATGTAATCACCTTTAGCGGTTTACATGTCCACTAAATAAATGCACCTTCAAGTCAGATACATTTAAAAACTTTTAAAAAATACATTTAACGCACTGGCAATCCAACAGCTTCCTTCTGTTAAAATAATGAAAAATCTCCTTGTCAGCGCAACAGCTGGTCGCTCTGTACTGTGTCATTTGCTATGCTGGAGACCCTTACACAGTGAAAGTAAATAGGCAGAAGGCATTACTGAAAGTCATTAGCATTAACCGCAATTGTTCCAACCATGCCAGGAACAAGTCTAATGGATTCCTTCACCCCTCTGAAAGTAAAAGAGTAACATATTCAACAGCAGAATTAGGAATGCTGATGTGCCTTCTACAGCTTGCACTTAACCTTTGGGTGAACAGGCTTCTTTCTAAAACAGCCTACTTAGGAACCAAGTCAACAAGTACTGGCAAGATAAGGCAATAGGACGAAGCATTTTCTTTCCTAGGGAACAATGCACTATACAAATAAAGAAGGCACCTTATATAACTCTATGTACCAGCTTACAATTGAAAAGTTCCCGAGTGCCTTGAGAACTGAAAGTTGCCTGCCAACAGCCTCACTTTTAGTATTCAGCACTTTTCAGCTTTGAGGACATATTGTACTTTGAGGACTGCCGCAAACAAAATTTTAGATTACTATCTAACATCATCAATCCAATAATAATAATAATAATAATAAAATAGTAAAAAAATGGCATAACTATAGATTCAGTTCCACGTTAAGAACTAAATGGGGAACATTTCTGGAAATAATATAACCAATATAAAGTCTGTGGTTTATAATTTTGTGGATTTCATAGAAAACATTTAATTATCTGCTTCTTATTGATATTGCAGCATAAACAGACACAACAAGCTGTGGCGATCTCATTCAGACAGTGACCTTTCAGACCACCATGAGCTTATTGATAAAAGAGCCATTTTTAAAAACATCAAAATGTGTGAGCAGCTTGTATGCAAGGAAATTCAGCTTAATAAAGACTCCCCACCTGTACTAAGCAAGGCATTCCTGAAGAAACAAGAGAAAAATGGAGAGGGATTGTGGGGGGTATATGGATATATTCTGATGTGCAGATGGCATTTGCGGATCCTGTATGCTGCAATCTCCCTTTAGATCTTCCATGCTCAAGACAACAGTCTAACAAACCCAAGATGAATTCAAACCACGATTTCCAAGTCAAAGTTTATTTTTCTATTCTATCTAACAAGGAGGCACTGAGGGACCCCATTGTACAGATGTTCCCAACTCAAAGACACTGCTGTGGGCGCATACTGCTAAAGCCAAAGAGAGGGAATTAAGCTTTTCAGCCATCCATAGAAGATTCAACAGTATTTTCTTTATATTTTAAGAACGGCATTGGACTATAACACAATAAGATGCAAGGAGGCTCAAACAGCCTTCTTTGGTAGTTTATACTATTGGTGAGGGCAATTTTTTCCCATATGTACCATATAAATATTATGGTACATACGGATTCACGCCAATAGATCTGTTTGCAATTCCTGGATGGAGGGGGTGGGAGGTGAACATTTTTCTGGAATGCCCTGGATATATCATAGATTATCCAGATGCCTTAGTATTTCAGTCACTGTTTTGCTTAAATCGCTCTGTTTCAACATAGGGGACAATGACATTTAAAAAATTCAATATATAAGAGTTAAGTTTAAAGGGACACTCCCCGAATAAAATAAATAAAAATATTCTTTAGTAGATGGATATAGTCCCTATGAAATCATGCATGCATTTCCTTATGCATTTATTCACTGGTGGTATAACTAAAACAGTTGGCAAAAGCTGCAGCTCTCTTGCCTGCAGCCTTTGTAAGCCCTCCCCTTCTAACCCTGCCCAGACTTTCTGTGGCTGTCCAATCACATACCTTCTAATGCAGCTAAATAAGCAGTTTTTGCAAGACAGGTTCTCTGAGCAATTGCTCATCTCTTGAGTTCAGCTCAATTGAGCTAAACAGACCAGAACTGGTTGGCTGATTGACAGCCATGGGGGTCTAACAAAGCTTACTTATAAAAGTGCCAATTTTATTGAAATCTAGACATTTTGTAAAATGAAAAAAAAAAAAAAGAAAAGAGGACACTGTTGTCACACAAAGCAATTCAGCAAGATTAAGATCTTAGGCGTCTAGTGTGTCTCTAAGGTTTTTAGAACAAGCAACATACTTTTAAAGTATAGAAGAGTATGTAAAGTCTTAAAGACTTAATACTCACAAAAGTCACCAAAACTCACTACAACATGATAATCTGATGCCAAAGCAAGTACCTTTAAAATCCAGATTAAACAAATACATCATTGTTTAGTAAATAATGCTGCTTGTGTTTCTCTTCCTTGTGCAGTGAAATGTTTTAATGAGGTAATCTATTGACCAATCTTCTTTTAATTGTGAATGTGGAGATGGTCTCTGCCTTGACAGTGGGTGAAGTAATATAAAGTTTGGAGGTGGAGAGTGCCAATAAGTAGATGCTAATAACAGATACTCCCACTCTCAGACAAAGATTCGCGCACTGCCCTGGAAGAAAAAAAAAGCTAAAAGATGGGAGGACCCATCAGGATATGAACCTAAAAGACTGTATGGCCCTCAGCATTTAAAGCAAAATTCGTTTAGGGCATTCAAGTGTATAAGGCAAACATATTTATGTATAGTAAAACATTAATTTTGTATATGAAACTGCTAAGTAGAAGCCAGACAAGTATAATATGAATAAATTACAGACTCATTGGTATAAATGATGTTACAGAACACTTCAAAGGTATATAACCACATAAAAGTATGACAATAGATTAATCTAAAATCCGTTTTAAAGTACAGGATGTGCTTGGGGATTTTCTGTCGAAATAACCAACATAACCAAGTTAAGAAACCGGTTAATTGTGCTCAATATTAATATATATAAATATATTTAAGTGTACAATAACATACATGAACATCATGTATTTTATGTACCAGCAGGGCTACTGAGGACATTCAATCAGGAGCAGAAGAGGGAGATCTTCCTTTCCTGCTGCAATCACAAAGTTAGACTGCAGAACTGATGTCTGTAGACCAATCGGCAAAGGGAATCCCTAATGTGGGAGTAGGTTTACCAAAAGGTTAGGGTTAGAATTAGTTTCAAAGTTTCACACTGGTCAATATGATGACACTAGTGTCATTTCATTAAACAACATCTCTGAGAAGTAAGCAAAGAAGCATGTCAAAATTAAAGCATGTCTGCTAGTTGAACCTATAAGTTCCATAAACACATGCACATATACATGTGTGGGATTTCAATGTACTCCAAGACGAAGCCGAATATAAATATTGGGTGTGTAAAATAAGAGGACACACAATATGTAGATACCATTAAAATTCAATAAGTATGTGAAAGAACTGACTGCAAATTTGGCAGATATGTGTTATGAAAGAACCAAATGATACGACTCACGATGCCCCATATTCAATAACCCAAGTTGTCTTGTTTTGATGATGGTATGCTATGATGTGAGAAAACATTTTATCCCAAAAGTTACACTGGCCTAATAAAGTAATCTGTAAAAACTGAAAATCTGAAATTATGTCTGAAATTTGATCCTACAACTCCAACAAGGTGGTCTACAATGGAGGCATTGCTATAGATGGAGAGAGTAGCTTAAAAGGGATCCATACCAATTCAGCTCATTGAAATGGTCTGGGTGCAATGTCGCATGTCCATTAACCCTACAGTGGTAATTATTGCAGTTTCTGAGAAACTGCAATAATTACCTGCTAGGGCTAACTCCTCCTCTAGTGACTGTCAACCAGACAGCCACTAGAGGGACTTCCGGGGTCTTAAGACGACTTTTGGTCGCCTACATGACGCTGGACGGCCTCATGCTATGAGGAATTCCCGTAGGAAAGCATTAAATAATTGTATAAAGTACTGTCTTTTTGAACTTAGCTTACATCAAATTGCAACTGAAAGTATGGATAATTTGTCTGCTGTAAGTTAAAAAACAAACCAACAAGCACTAATCACTAAAGCCAAGTTGGAGCAAATTACCAAAATCAGCACTTTTTGTCTACATTTTTCAATGTGGTTCTCAATTCACTTTCTGATGTTATCTAAAGTGAACCTTTAGATAATATCAGAAACAGTGCAACTAACCATTGAATCTGGTAAAATATTTTATGCTATTTATATTTAATCATATGTTCACACACGATAAAATCTGTTTTATACAAAGTTGCAATTTCAGTTTAATAATTATTGTAATTGAATGTACACGGATCAATTTGAGAAGTATTGCACAATTTATGGCCATTTCAGAGTACGTCTATTGCCAATAAACAGATAGATACACATAGACATCCTAAGAAAAGCTTTCTCCAAGTCAACTTTCTAATACTTGCTGTAAAGCTATTTAGCAATTAAAGTACTAAATGGAAAGCCAGTCAGGTTTAAAGTTTAATGTAAGGCGTACATTTAACCCTCATTTCCACAGCCGACACATAAATGGACAAACACTTAAGAAGGATGCTGAGCTAATTTGATTTCTGGTAAAATTGAGCACAGATCTCAGTCTCTTACCTGCTTTATGGAACATGTCCAAATGTGGGGGAAAACGTGGAAACATCTTGGGCGTATCTCATAGTGGAGACTGTAGTGCTTTTCACCACTCCATACAGACTAATAAAGATGATAACTAGCCACCTTTTCTATTTTCAAGGTTTATTATGCTAATGAAACTGATGGACAGACATTAGCAGTAAGAGACATTTAAAATTGGTCCATAAATCAGCAATGCGTCATTTACACTTCAGAGTGGAGTAGATCACCCTTTTCAAACACATTAGAAAATGCATAAATAAATAAAACCACACACACAAAAAAAACTCTGCAGGATCTGATCCTTCTCCAGTGACATTCGCTACAAGGAGAGAAATACTTGTATGACCTTAAATGATTGGGAGCTGTTTGTGTGAGTTCTCATTCATATGACGAAATGCTGCATGCGCTGTTAAATGTAAATAAAGAGCAATGCCCACTACAGCTTCCTAAAAAAAAGAAATGACCTAGTGGTAGAGTTGGTGCAAAGATGAAAAAATGGACGATAATAGGGTGTAAGCAATTTGATGAATTGGCTATAATTGAAACAAATCTCATAACTCAACCTCTATTCAAAAAGGAAACCAAACCTGTGTTTAACGAGTTAACAGCATGCCCAATGTGTCTTATTTTGTAAAAGTGAGAAATCTTCAATTTTATAAACCCCCTTGGTAACAAGACTGGATAGGTATAGGAGAAAAAAAGTAAGGATGAGGTATTAGTTCCTCATACTATCAGGACACCAAAATATACCACCCAATGTGAACAAAGAACGTGAGGTAAAGTGCCCACAGAAGGGCCTTTGCCCTGATGAAGGTTCACGTTTTTTGGGTTGTTTATAATGGGTTATTTTTTAATCTCTATGGGTACTTTACCTCATGTTCTTTGTGAAGGTGTCAAGACCACTTCAAATCATTGAATATCGCTTGAGGTAACCCTATAAAGACACTTTGAAATCTACAAATTATGTGTATACCACGTTTCCTTCTGGTATTGAAGCAGCCCTGCCTTTTTTATTTTGGATTTCCTTTCTTTATACACCCTGTGTCAGGATAGTCTAATACCCAAGGACCAAATCATATAAAACCAGAAATCCTAAAAAGGCATTACTGGACCTTAGAATGGCCAGATTTAACATTAATAATAGAAAAACAGGACAAGTCGAGGTCAGGAAAATAGAAGTCAGAATAGTTAAAGTACAAGCAAATAGTAAAAATAAATAAATAAATTTTAAAAAATCAGAAACAATAGAAGAAATGCACTCTCGGATAGTCAGAATGGAAACCAAGACAGGGCACTGTACAAATGCAAAAAGAGAGTTTAAATTGCCCTAAGAGGACTGTAACTATCCAGTTAGCGATCATGTGACGTCCGAACGTGCTCGCTTGCAATGTCAAATATTACGTTTTCACTCTTGTACTAAAATTCATCAGTCAGGTCATTCATCATTCACAGGTCATCTCATGCTGGAATTATGACATGACAATGAGTTCAGTGTTCCAGTCCAATACAGCATATTCATGATCGGGGTGGGTTGGGTAATCTGAAGCATCTTCGTGCAGACAACAAATCTGCAGCAAATGCAGATTGCCAATATGGACGGACCAGAACCCCTACGGAATGCAACTAGCATAATCAGCACGGTTTTATGAAACATAGGTCATGTCAAACTAGACTTATTGCATTCTACGAAGAAGTAAGTAGAAGGCTAGTTAAGGATGTTGCAGTGGATGTGATCTACTTTGATCAGTGCACACAACAGGTTAGTGTTCAAACTAAAGAAAATTGTTCTAGATGAAAATTCTTGTCCTTTGGTAGAACATTGGTCTAAAGATAGAGTACAACAAGAAGTCATTAATGGTAAATTTTCAAGCTGGTGGTAAGTGGTGTCCCTGCAGGGTTCAGTTCTAGGACTGTTTCTATTTAAAGCGGCACTGTCATGGACGATTTCCGTTGGTTGTTTTTTTTAACCCCTCACCGCCCCTTATTGTTATTTAGGGGGCCCCCACACGCCGCACGCGGGGGGGCGGTAAGTAGGTGTTTGGGGGGGTTTGAGCCAGAGGTTGCTCACTGTTTAATAGTATAGCGAGTAGGGGCATAATTTACTAATACTAAGTAATCTTTACTTAGTATTAGTAAATTTGGATGAAAGACCAATTTAGGTCTTACAGCCTTTTAGTAGATAGCTCCCTAATACCGTGGGAATTAGGGGGTTATCTACTAAGCGGCTGCAAGATGCAGCCACGGCAATGAATAGGATTGGAGTTTAATTAATTCGAATGAAATTCCGATACGAACAAAGTCCTGAATTGCGTTCTAACACGAATAGAGAAACTGTTAGAACGCAATTCGGCAGTTTTGCCGGAGTCCTGTCTAAGTGACAGGAAGCATCGCGGGAACAGGGAGGAAAAGTAAGGATTATGGGAAAATTGCTGTGACCACCAGAAACGAAGCACACTTTGCTCCTCCGCTGGTCACTGCGTAGGAAACCTCCATAAGAGAAATAGTCCCTACTTTTTCTTAAGTTTTAAAGAAAACTAGAGCAGACAGGAAGAAATGAATAACAGATCCTGAGAGAGGGAGAGAAGAGGAATCGATTGGGGAAAGGTAAGTTCGGCATGACAGTGCCGCTTTAACATGCATGTAAATGCCATTGAAAGCCATGTTTCAGTGTTTGCACATGATACAAAACTCTGTAAAGTAATACAATGTGAGCAAGATATTACTTTGTTGCAGAGGGATTTAGCTAGATTGAGGAAATGTGCACTCAAATGGCAGACGAAATTTAATGTAGAAAAATGCAATGTTATGCACTTCGTAGTAAAGAATGCAGAATCAATTTACACAGTAAATGGTAGTGAATTAGGGATAACAACAGGATTTGGAAATTGTTATAGCCAACAAACTAGGCAACATTGTGCAATGTCAATTAGCAGTTGCTATGGCTAGTAAGGTATTGTCATGTATAATAAAAAAAGAAAAGAAAAGTATATTTTCATCCCAAGAATAAATAGTATGTTGCCCACAGGTCGCATATGGTTGTTATGCCCCGTAATTCAAGATTACTGGAAAGAGATAGCTGACCTTATCCACACGATTACAGGAATTAAACTCCCTCGGGAACCTAGAGCCATGCTCTTCATGCTTATCCTTGGCCAAACACCAGCGCATATTGATTAACCACGAAGTGGAACCACAGCCCCCTCCATTAGAGAATGGATAGGTAGACTAGACACCATCAGAACACTGGAAGAACTATCATACTCCTTTACCCTCAAGTAAATACACAGCCATCTGGGCTCCCTGGCTAGACTTCCTACAAAGGTAGTGCCCATTAGTTGGGAAGGGACAAAGTCGCCAGGGACTACCCGGAGGTGACACAGGTGAAACCCTTACAGAGATCCGAAATTTTTGTGCCACACATCACCCAATACACAGGGCAGCACAACCTGGGTTCGACTCCAGGCACCACCTTCACAGAGGCGTACAGACCACGATACTCACGGGACCTACATAACGAGGGTCAACCTTCCAAAGGGGAATGAGAAAGAAGGGCACCCACCATTATGTATGTATATGACCCCAGTAAGCCATGTTGAATCTCACATTTAAGTATGTCAGAGTTACAATTCCTGTAAATGTTTTATTCAATCAATATTCAAACTTATGTAAATCCACATTAATGCATATTTGTACCAACCGCTGTATTTTATACTGATGCTCAATAAATTATTTTTAAAAATAAATAAATATATATAATGTTGCCTCTTTATAAATCAATGGTAAGACCACACCTTAAATATGCTGTGCAATTCTGGGCACCTGTTCTAAAGAAGGATATTAAGCACTAGAAAAAGTGCAGAGGATGGCTACAAAATTAGTAAAGGGAATGGAACATTTTAGTTATGATGAAAGGTTAACAAATTTAAATCTGTTTAGTTTAGAAAAATGGCGCCTCAGAGGGGATATGATAGCATTAAACAAATATATTGTCTGGAAATCGATTCATAAACAGGACTATGCATAGGGCACGAGGTAAATATTTAGACTGGAAGAAAAGAGATTTAGTCTAAGGCAAAGGAAGAGGTTTTTTTTCAGGAAGAACAGCAAGGATGTGAAATAGTCGACCCAATGAGGTGGTTTTATCAGTCTGTACAGATGTTTAAACAGCAACTGCATTAATACTTGCAAAGACTTAATTTTCAGGGTTTTTGTGGTAAAGATGGATTTCTTTTTACCTAGTTTGTTGGAAAATTGGAAAGTGCTTCAAACTGGGGGGTTTTGCCTTCTTTTGGATCAACAGCAAAAAAGATTTGAGAAAGGCTGAACTTGATGGACATATGTTTCTTTTCAGCTATGTAACTATGTAATGTAAAATACTTTATAAAGTATAAAGCTCCTGTTCTACTGCTAACAAACCATGCCAGTAAAATGGGTTATAACATATCAATTTTAAACAATCACCTAACATTAAAGGACATTTCTCCAACTGTTTTAAAATAAAAGCAGTTTTCAACAAACAGTTTTTAAATAAAAACTGAAGATCAATGTGTATTGATTACTCACATTGTCAGTTATGTCAGCAGGCTTGAGAAGACACTTTTAGTCCATTAACGAGGATATAGTAAAAGCTGGTGTTATGACAGACACTCAAAAATACTATAATGCAAATAGATCAGTAGAGAAAAAAATAAAAAACAATATGCAGATTAAGACTAGAATGCCATATTGAAGATATTACATGCAACAAAAATCCAATTAGACATACTTATCTAAGTTAGCTGTATGTTACACAGATTTTGTTTATGAAAACATAAAATTACATATATTTCAAAGAAGTTTAAATATAGGTTTTATTCATAAAAATGTGCAGTCAACTCAAATGTCATGTATAACTAAGCCTTATTCAGCTTGCTAGTGTTGTCGTGACACTATAAGCATTGTCTGTTATCTCATGCACAACTGAAAATAAAGAATAAAAAAAAAAAATATATAGGTTTTATCAGTCAGTGGGTAATAAGATTCACTGGTATTGCTGTCCTTGCCAAAGTCAATGGTATGCATGCCCATTTTCCTTCCATAATTATTATTTATATACATTTTTATCATGCCTGGTTTACAAATGCCAGAGAGTAACTTAATACGTTTGTTTCTGGGTATGCATGTGTGCTGCGGTCATAGGGAGAAACTAAAATTAAGGATATTGGGAAGATGAGGAGGCATCCAGGCATACCGTGGACTTGAGGGAGCTACTTTCCCTAAGGCTCCAGGAACAACTTCTCCAATATCAAGACCAACTACGCAGAAGCATGGAACTCGGAGCTGGATCGAGGATGGCTGTAATCCAGTCAAACTTTACAATGTTATCGCTCGGGCAGGGTACCTCCGATCTGGGCACTGTTTGGACAGTTTGTGGCTGAGGTCCAGAGTTATCCAGAGATGTATTAGGTTTAGGTGCTATTTGTGAGGAACAATGTGTTTTGAGGTAAAAACAAAAGACGCCAGAATGTCTGGTAGCTAACTGAATCAACCCTTACTTGACTTGAGCAAGGTCTCGGGGCAGGTTTACATCGTTCAAGTGAATGGCCCTTGTTGGGGGATGTACAAATATGCGTGGTTGTGCACAATAAAGTAATCCCTATTTCACCCTTCATCAAGCCTTATAAATTAGTATTATATTGCAAATCACACTGTGAATTATGCTGTACAGGCTTGGTGGTCTATAAAGAAAATAAGAAACTGAAGAGTTAAAAATACATTTTATCAAGGTTTGAAAATGAATGCCTAACAGACAGTTGCAGATGAAATGTGCATATTTCCTTATCCTATGTATAAATTCGACATCTGGCAAATGTGAAAACACGCGCAATGTGAAAACTACCAAAAAAGTATCACGTCAAAAGATATCCGGAAATATAGGGCAGATTGTGTTTTACAGTTAATATATAACCCTCCAACAAAGTCATTAATCAAACAGATTTACCACAACATCAAAGACCGTCATCAATGCAACAAAGTGAATGGAAAGATACAGAATACAGTATAGACAGAGGATCTGAGATCAACACCACAAGTGGAATCCCATACATAGTGCTATACACAGTGAATAACTATTGTAAAGCATGCAGTTAGTACAGACCTAACAATGATTTTCTATTTTACCTATATTTTCAGACTTTTGCTAGAAAGAAGACTAAATCTCCAAACACAAGAAACAAACCCACCAGGGACATCAGAATATCTAAATAGAAAATATTCTGTTATATTGTGTAAATTAAAGGAATACTTCACCTTCCCTAAACAAAAAAATAAAATAGAAAACACTCTTTAGTAGTTATACCCTCAATGAAAACATGCTTGTCTTTAATTGTGCATTTTCTTTTCACTGTGGGTATATCTAAAACAGTTTGCAAAAGTTAAGGATCTCGTCTGCAGCCTTAGCCAGTCCTCCCCTACTAGACGTTCTATTGCTGTCCAATTACAGACTTCCCAAAGCAGTTCAATTAAGTATTTGCAAGGCAGGAGCTCTGGGCAATTGCTGCCTCTTTAGTTTAGCTCCAGTGAGCTAAACAACCAGAATGTTATCGAACTGGTTGTCTGACTGACAGCTAGGTGGGAAAGAGAAACAATAAGGAGACAAAACACCAAAATAAAGAGATTTATTCCACCAGTGTGGAACCGGCAACATTTTAACCTGACTTCAGCCAGGTGGGGTGTAACAAGGTTAATTTATAAAAGTGCCAACTTCAATTGAAATCTGCACCTTTTATTTTTTATTTTATTTTTTTCATTTTACAAAAACGACACACTCTTCACACACAAAGCACCTTAGCAAACTAAAGTGCTTTAAAGGGAAACTCCAGTGCCAGGAAAACAATCAGTAGGTATAAAGATGAAAGATAAAGGTTATTGTTTAATTTTATATCAGAAACTGCATGAGAACAATCTAAAACTGAGATCTGACATTTCAGTGGAGTGTGAATGCAGCAATAATTTGTAAAGTGTGATTTGTCATGACTTTATAGATAAGAAATGCATGAACAGCTCAGGGAAGCACAGAGATAAATAGCTCAAATGATTTATTTATGGACAGGTTTCTTAAGAATTCACAGAAATCATTAAGAAATGAAGCCACAGCAAAACAAAACTAAACAATACTATACAATAACCCAACGTGAGTGATTAGCAATATTAACTATATAAGTGATACAGACTAATTAAATAAAATTATGACCACACCATGCCTGGATCTTGATAGAATGCACTTAAAGAACACCAAGCACCATAAACATAAAAGTGCGCCGTAAAGGTTATGGTGTCAGGAGCCACAAGGTGACATTAATTGGTAATCGGTCAAATGTTTATGAATGGTTTGACACTTACTTTGCAGTGACCAGCACCCAGAATACTTCTGATAGAGTGGAAGTTCATACTTCCACATTATCATACCAACTCATACCAGGTTTAAACAGTATTAAAGGGATCCTATGGTGCCAGAAAAAAAAAAAAAAACTGTTTTCCTGGCACTATAGGCTCTTGGAGAGCCCCCCTCCCTCGGGGGCCCAATCCCGTGGCATTTAGTGGGTTAAAAGATCTTCAAACATTTATCTTAAGCCAGCGCCGGGCTCCCTCGACGCTGGTGACCTCTTCTGCCTCGCCAACTTCAGCTCCCGAGTGGAGCCGAATGCGCATATGCGGCCAGAGGGGCGCGCATTCAAACCCGCCCGTAGGAAAGCATTATTCAATGCTTTCCTATGGGGATCTTTTTTGACGCTGGACTCTGTAAGGACGTCAAGCCTCAAATAAGTGCAATTTACTTAGTGTAAATCGCGGAAGCGCCTCTAGTGGCTGTCAGGGAGACAGACACTAAAGGCTGGATTAACCCTGCAGTGTAAACATAGCAGTTTCTCTGAAACTGCTATATTTTCAGCTGCAGGGTTAAAACTAGAGGGACCTGGCACCCAGACCACTTCATTGAGCTGAAGTGGTCTGGGTGCCTACAGTGGTCCTTTAGCTTAGATGGTCACCTGCTGGCTCTAATCCAACAAATTTCACTAAAACGTAGTATGAGTTGGTATGATAATGCGGAAATGTGAACGCCCTCTATATCAGACCAACTCATACTGGGAAACAGCAACAAAAAAAAACACCGATATATGGTACTTTGAGCGACCATTCAATTTGCCAATGATAGATAGATGGGCAAAGCAGATTGGTTATACTTTAAAAGAGGCAGCATACACATTTTATATTTCATCAAACTCTTTAGTAATATCTATTATGGAAGAATGACAACATTTGCAGCCTAAACATTTCATTTTAATTCAGACTTCTGCTATCATAAAAAGTGTCTCTGCCCCAGACTGGGACTCAGCAGAGAAATAGTCCTGTGATACACTTCAGCTACTTTAACTTAACAAGCTGTATTTTAATTACCTGGAATTGCTTTCAGAGCACTACTGGACAGCTTGCAAGACTGCAGAAAATAATGAGGCCCAACACATCAGAACATAAGAGTACAACAGAAAACTAAATGCTGCACCCTGGAGGTAATATCAAGAACTACCTTTAGCAGAAAGTATACCAGTTATAGATTTCAGTTAGGTGGAGCCATCAAAAATTATTGATGTACACAATTTTGGAAGCAACTGGAATTAAATGACTAGACCCTTTTTTCAATTGTATGGTACTATGATCTAGAAATATCAATTAAACCTCAGCCCAAATTAATGCGTTTGTTGCTCAACATGAAAGATTAGGCTCAGAAGTATGGCACAGAATAACCAACAATATAATAGCAGATCGATTTAATAGTTTTAACACCCAGACAAGGTTCCATCATACCATTGGCTTTCCAGAATAAAAAGTTGATGACAGAAAGAAACAAAAACACTGGTCAATAATTTAAGAGCAATATCTCACAGTATAAAGTCACAAATAACAAAATAAGCAAAAAATAAATAAATAACAAAGCTAAACAAAATAATCTTGAAAGCATTTTATTTTTTTATGAAATGAAAATAATTTCTGAATCTATTTTATATAAAATAATACTTTACATGAACATTTCCCACATTGAAAAAAGGCACACGGAGAACAATGCTTGGCAGGTGGTAAACTACAGGTAACAGAAGAGACTGAAAGCCATTTGCTTTCACATAGGATAAGCAGTTATAAACATAGATGCTGTGCATTTGTGATGACCTATTACTTTCTAGGAAGTCCTTTGTGTTTTAATGAGTTCTATTCTTAAACTTGCTGAACCTGTAGTTTGCTCATGAACCTTTTGCTCTGCATGCACAGCTGCTTCTTCAGCCTACTGGGCACTATCACTTCATGAGAAGCAATTAGGTGCTAGAAGGCTAAAAATCTATAGAGCAGATGATAACCTCTTCTCTGCCTTGAATGTTGAATGGAGGGGCGAGTGTTTAGGCATGCAGGTTGTGTGTTAGGGAGTTATGGTTAGATATAATCCGATTAGGATACTAAGGTACAGAAAACAGGCATTAGTGTTAGGGACTTAACTTGGTGGCAAAAGAATAATAGTGATGGCTACTACCAACGCTCATTAATCTCATATTAAACCCATGTTGAACACTAAAGTTTATTTCGTACGGATTAACAGATTAAAAAAAAAATGTGTCCAGGCCAAAATAGACTTGATGAATAAAAAAAAAAAACTCCAGTTTGGTTTGTCATCCCATCGCTATTCATTGTTTAGGCAATAAACCCCATTAATGGCACGGATAAAAGAAAAATGCTAAAGAACAAACCCACCTTCGCAAATGCTCATGTTCTTTCAAGAAAAGTTCCGTTCTTCTATTGTTAACTCCAGACCCTGTTTTGTATGACCTGCCATAACAGAAAAAGAAAAAAAAACATTTTCAGTAATACTATACCATATAATAATAGAACAATGCATAAACAAGAGAGTCAATAATGAGAAATATAAACAATGCATATGTGGCGAAACCAACCTCGCCACTATGCACTGGAGAAGCCTGGTTGCCAGCCTCCTGCCATCTGACTATGGCCCCCTTGTGAATTCGTACTTTTGTATGCAATATTTGGGCATGTGACATTTTTATATTGCTGCTACTGGCCCTTTAAGGGCCCTCCGTGAACATATTCTGCCTGTTAGGAATAATGCCTTTTTAAGACTGTGTAGCAAATTGCATTCAGGCTGTATTTAATATTATGTGTTCGGTGTAAAGTGTTATGTGAATGCAGCATTCCCTGATTGTTCGGTAGAATCACTTCATTCATTATATTGGGTGAAACTACCGAACAACCAGACCACCCGGGAGTAAGTGTGCCTCCAATTACCGTTTGCAACAATGTTGCAAACGGGTAATTGGCAATATGTGTACTGTGTGTTGTGTCCTCTGGGTGGCCGCCATTCGTGAAACGAACACGTGGCGGCGGCCATCTTAAACTCCCGAACAGCGGTGTTTTGCCGTCGAGTGTCTGGAACTAAAATCGGACACTCGACTAAGCAAACACCGCTGAGACCTCCAGACTTCCAGCAATTCGTGCAGAAACTACCGAACGGCCCGCCGTTCGGTAGAAAGGATCCCACGAACAGGGGGATTCATACGAATCCTCCCCAAGCTCCATAACCCAGGCGATTCGTGTGTTTGATTCCCTTTTCTGTGACCGACTGCAGGGCCAAAATACATGGAACTATTTTCGGATACTTTTGCCATGCAGTCGGTCAAAACTTTAACCCGTTATAATTCCTGAACCCCTGGTCCGATCTGGGTGATTTTTGGATATGTGTCTCACCCAGATCAGGGCTACCAGGGGATGTAACATTTAAAGGGGTATTCCTATGTTTAGGGGTACATCCAGTATCCCAGGGAATTTGTGTCTGTATTAATGGGATTATGTGTCACACTAAGGGGAGGAGATGTGTGGGAGGTAACTGGTACATTATTGGCTGGGGTACTAATTGTTGTGGATCCCTCCCTTGCATGGGAGAATGTCTTAAAAGGAGGCTGTGTGAATAAATCTAGAGATTCTGCTTAACCCTCAAAACGAAGTGTCGTCTCGTTATTGGGGGAATTGGATTGTGTGCTGACTGCCAGGAGTGTAAGCCGTTCGTATGGCTTTTCCTGTTCGGCTGCTTCCAGAGTTCGTGTATTTCTTGTTCGTGAGTTGGGGATTCGTACAGTTTGGAGTTCGGGAGGTTGGTGATTGCAATAGCTGCTGGTCTATGGGAAAGGGGATTATCGCCTAAATGGTTTTTATCCTCTTGTGAGAGAAACGGTCCGTTACAGCATATATAGACAAGATTTGATAAATCAGTGGGATTTATGAATATTTTCCATCTCTATGATGACTTAATGCTTGGTTATTAATATTTTAATATAGTCTATTAGATTTGAGACAGCCAATGACTGCAGCGGTGTTTAAAATTACAAGATCTGTAGAACTAAAAGCAAGAGAATTGTAAATAAAGATAATTTTAACAAAAAATTTGTAAATTTACATATTTGTAATTTTAAAGTTTGTCTGCAAGGCAATCTATGCACAATATTGCTGTGTTACAATGCGTTTCATTTGCTAGCCATGCATCCCTTGCTTCAAATAAATGTTATACTAATGTTTCTCAATCAAAAAATGCTCAGCAGTGACGGGGTTAATACTGGGTCCTGGGAACTACTGCATTAATGAATGTTTTTGAAGAAGGTAATGGAGATTTCCTGGGGTTTTACAGCAATTATGGGAATGTTAAACTGAGCATCTTTTAATTTCTTTTAAAGATTTATTTTTTGTAGAATTGATAATTCATTGTCTAGTCTAGTGTATGTCCTCAAAAAAACAGTATTTTCCAATAGTACATTACACATTCAAAAACACCTGCCAGAAAATCAAAATGTTGGCTAGATAACAAAATATTTTCACAAACAGCAAAAAGAAACAGATGATAAGAAGCATGTAGGATCATAAATAATCAAGCAGTACTCTCTCCAGCAGATATTCACTAACGTAATTTGGGACTTACTCAATATCCTTCCGTACTGATCCCAAGAGATCTTCTCTTTCTCGAATTGCCTGGAAGTTGGCTTTTGTTTTGTGGAATTCATGCGTGTAATCCTGTAAGAAAAACACTTGCATCTATTAATGAACCAGCAGTATTGCTTGTTATTAAGAAATACATGAGACAAGCATACCGGTGACTGTGCTATATTGCTACTATGCTCATTAGCTTTTTATACAACTGTTTTCCAGACCTCAAGCAATATTGGTTAAGTAGAAAGCCCTGTAATAGCCACAATGGATGATTCACTGATGAATGCATGACTAAGCCATCGATATTGACAGAAGGGATATCCCTAAAATCCTGCACCATTTCCCTACAGACTGGTGAATACTGCATTACAGATCAGAGAGAATTATAGTACTGCATATAACACTTATGCAGCTAAGCTCTATGTGCGTGTAAAATGGCTGGAAATGACAGATTCACAGTTGAAAATGTCATTATAATCTTTCCCCTTTATCCTAAATACATTTCAACAATTCATCTTCACTGTGATTACACACTTTCAGCCTGAAATCTACAGAGAGTATCGTGTTCCCTATTTATTAGCTCATGTTTGAGAGAAGTTGCTTTTTAACCCCTTAAGGACACAACTTCGAGAACAAAAGGGAATTATGACGGAATATTTCCGTCATGTGTCCTTAAGGGGTTAAAGGACCATTAAAGTCACCTAGATCACTTCATCTCAATTAAGTGGTTTATGTGCAGTAGTCCGTTAGTAGTAACCCTGCAATGTAAAACACTGTAGTTTTATTTTGAAACTGCAATGTTTACATTACAAGCTTAAATCCACCTCTAGTGACTGTGTTCCTGAGAACTACTAGAGGCACTTCCACTCCACTGATGCAAAAGCTCATAAGAAAGTACTGAATTCAATGCTTTCCTATTTGAAACATGTGAATATATACCCAGTGCCCACAGCGCATGCACACCAGTGTCCAATGCTCAAATGTGTATGTGCATTAGTTTCCAATGCTCCCCTATAAGGAGAATTGGTTTGCAAATAAGCTCAAGAGCTGGATACAGAGTTGCTGGCAGTGCCAAGGAATAGGGCTGGATGGAGAATTTGTAATGACTGTGCTAGGAGGACAACTAGTAATGGGGAAAGGGATGGCGACAAACCACAAATGCAGCATATGAAAAACAAAATGTTATTCACTGGAATTTGATACTTCAAATTCTAGAGACCTAAATTGTAATTGTACCAAATTGTAATCTAGTGGCTTCACACTCCCCTGGAAATTGCATTATTTAGCACAAAATGCATTACATTTAACAAATTAATAAAATGTGGCGATGACAGGTCCAGTTTAAAACCTATTTTTTTCTTCATCTATACATTAATCCAATTTCTTTTTTAATTTAAAGGCTATGTAAGCTAAGGGTTATTTACTGTAAAGAGAGAAATTTGTCATAAATTAAAAATTTCTGAAAAAAATTCTCCAAGTCAGCTATTTTAGCCTAAATGTTGAATTCCAGGCAATTATTAGTTTAGAAACAAAGAACACCACAAATGAAATTATATATATATATATATATATATATATATATATACACACACACACACACACACACACAGGGAGTGCAGAATTATTGGGCAAATGAGTATTTTGACCACATCATCCTCTTTATGCATGCTGTCTTACTCCAAGCTGTATAGGCTCGAAAGCCTACTACCAATTAAGCATATTAGGTGATGTGCATCTCTGTAATGAGAAGGGGTGTGGTCTAATGACATCAACACCCTATATCAGGTGTGCATAATTATTAGGCAACTTCCTTTCCTTTGGCAAAATGGGTCAAAAGAAGGACTTGACAGGCTCAGAAAAGTCAAAAATAGTGAGATATCTTGCAGAGGGATGCAGCACTCTTAAAATTGCAAAGCTTCTGAAGCGTGATCATCGAACAATCAAGCGTTTCATTCAAAATAGTCAACAGGGTCGCAAGAAGCGTGTGGAAAAACCAAGGCGCAAAATAACTGCCCATGAACTGAGAAAAGTCAAGCGTGCAGCTGCCACGATGCCACTTGCCACCAGTTTGGCCATATTTCAGAGCTGCAACATCACTGGAGTGCCCAAAAGCACAAGGTGTGCAATACTCAGAGACATGGCCAAGGTAAGAAAGGCTGAAAGACGACCACCACTGAACAAGACACACAAGCTGAAACGTCAAGACTGGGCCAAGAAATATCTCAAGACTGATTTTTCTAAGGTTTTATGGACTGATGAAATGAGAGTGAGTCTTGATGGGCCAGATGGATGGGCCCGTGGCTGGATTGGTAAAGGGCAGAGAGCTCCAGTCCGACTCAGACGCCAGCAAGGTGGAGGTGGAGTACTGGTTTGGGCTGGTATCATCAAAGATGAGCTTGTGGGGCCTTTTCGGGTTGAGGATGGAGTCAAGCTCAACTCCCAGTCCTACTGCCAGTTCCTGGAAGACACCTTCTTCAAGCAGTGGTACAGGAAGAAGTCTGCATCCTTCAAGAAAAACATGATTTTCATGCAGGACAATGCTCCATCACACGCGTCCAAGTACTCCACAGCGTGGCTGGCAAGAAAGGGTATAAAAGAAGAAAATCTAATGACATGGCCTCCTTGTTCACCTGATCTGAACCCCATTGAGAACCTGTGGTCCATCATCAAATGTGAGATTTACAAGGAGGGAAAACAGTACACCTCTCTGAACAGTGTCTGGGAGGCTGTGGTTGCTGCTGCACGCAATGTTGATGGTGAACAGATCAAAACACTGACAGAATCCATGGATGGCAGGCTTTTGAGTGTCCTTGCAAAGAAAGGTGGCTATATTGGTCACTGATTTGTTTTTGTTTTGTTTTTGAATGTCAGAAATGTATATTTGTGAATGTTGAGATGTTATATTGGTTTCACTGGTAATAATAAATAATTGAAATGGGTATATATTTGTTTTTTGTTAAGTTGCCTAATAATTATGCACAGTAATAGTCACCTGCACACACAGATATCCCCCTAACATAGCTATAACTAAAAACAAACTAAAAACTACTTCCAAAAATATTCAGCTTTGATATTAATGAGTTTTTTGGGTTCATTGAGAACATGGTTGTTGTTCAATAATAAAATTAATCCTCAAAAATACAACTTGCCTAATAATTCTGCACTCCCTGTATATATATATATATATATATATATATATATATATATATCTATCTATCTCAATCAGAGAACACAAATATATTTATGTTTAAAAGACTGCTATAGGCACCCAGACCACTTCAGCTCAATGAAGTGGTCTGGGTGCCAGGTCCCCCTAGTTTTAACCCTGCAGCTGAAAACATAGTTTCAGAAAAACTGCTATGTTTACAATGCAGGGTTAATCCAGCCACTAGAGGCCCCTTTAGCGATGCTCAATGCAAAAATCGCACTGAGGACACGCTGGACGTCCATAGGAGTAATGCTTTCCTACGGGTGGTTTGAATGCGCATTCGGAGGGGACGTCAGCGGAGGGGGAGAGGTCACCAGTGCCGATTAATGTAAGTGGCTGAAGGGGATTTAAACCCGCCAGCAAAGCGGGAGTGGGGGGCCTAATAACCTAGTTTGTTTTCCTGGCACTACAGTGCTTTTTTAACGGAGATGATGAGGGAATCAAACGTGTGTTGATGCCCAAATGCAGTTTTTTGTAATGTTTAGAAAAAAATACATTTAAACAATGGGCATTTATAATAATAAAAGCAATGTGCATCTGGCTCCAATTTATGTTATCTGTACAGTAAACAATTTACCTCTGATGCAAGGTTTACCTATGTACAATAGCGATAAATGGGATAGTGTAAATTTAAGCAACATATTTATGACATAAAATACACATATAAAGTTACCTGCAGAATATCTCTGTGCCTTTGTAACGTGTGCATCAGTGCTGCATTTACTGAAGTCATGCCAGCTGTGCTGCTGTATTCTGCCATCTTGTCGTTTACCCCAGTGAGCTTGAAAAGAAAAAAGAAAAAGAAAAAAGTTTCTGAGCGTTAAGATCTTGCAGCGTAGGAGTGAACAAAGTAACAAAGAAACTTAGTAGTGCTTATTTTTGTCCTTCGACATTGGACTGGACAGTTTTATGAAATTAAAAAATGTATGATTAAATAAACATTCATTATTGTGTACTTGCAAGCAAATGTGTTATGTATTGATATGTTTAAGTCATTTGTGCATATTTTCTTTAAGTGTGTAGGAAAGAAAAACAGCTTGCAAAAGCTACAGACATGCTACCTGCAGCCAATGCAAGACCTCCCTTCTTTTCACAGAACTTCATATTTTAAGTATGTGTCAGGGGGTAAAAAAAAACAATAAGAGGCTACACTAGCGCAACTTTCCTATACTTTTCAATGAGCGGTAATACATACAAGTATTCATATCCCTGCATCCCTCTATGATTGGCTGAGTTTGCTAAGCAGGGGTTGAGATCCTGTCCTGCCTTAAATTGTTGAGATCATCAAAACTGATGATCTCAGCCAATCCAATACTTTTCCATAGGAAATTAAACTACAGTATCTGATAGCAATAACTAGGTTTTACTCTGTTATTTCAGAAGAAGCGCCTCTAGTGACTGTCAGAGTGACAGTCACTAGAGGCATTTAAACCCTGCAATGTAAACATTGATTTTCCTGCAGATCAGCAATTTTTTACAATGCAGGGTTAAACAGACTGGGACATAACACCCAGATTTTATTTAGGTGAAGGGGTCTGGGTGGCTACATTGTCCCTTTAAACTTGTAATTGCAATATAAGTATAATAGCATTAAACAAACTAAAGTTGTAAGCAATAATTGTCAAACTAATATATACACATTAAGGTGCAGGTATACAGTCACAAATAAATTAATAAAGTGTCAGCACGCCAGAAAAGATTTACTAATTATTATGATCAAGCCTCCAGTTGGCATTAGAACCAAAAATAAAATTGGGCTTTTGTAAAAATGCAATTTGCCCTAACTTGAGTAACTTAACTTAGAGTACTTAAACACAAAATGGATTTAGGAATCACTGACCCCCAACAAACAATGCTTCCTCTAAAAGATGATCATCTTGTTTAGTTAGATGTAATAGTCTCCTGAACATTTCAAACCAAAATCAATTTCAATATTAAAGGAACACTATAGGGTCAGGAACACAAACCTATTCCTGACCCTATAGTGTAAAACCCACCATTTAGGTGGCTTGCCCCCCCTTTATTCCCTTACAGGGGATTAAAACATACCTTATTTCCAGCTCCACCCGGGTCTGCCTGCGCTGGCCCAGCCCCCAATCTGCCTTATTGGTGGCATCAGAATTTATGATTTTTAGCCAATCCAATGCATTCCCATAGATAAAGCATTGGATGGCCTGAAATCGGCGAGGGGGTGGGGCCAAACACCATCTCCTCATAGAGATGCAATGAATCAATGCATCTCTATGACAACATTTCAGCGTCTCCAAGCAGAGCGTGGAGACGTTGAACGGCTGTGCAGCACTGCCCCAGGAAGCACCCCCAGTGGCCATCTGAGGAGTGGCCACAGGAGGCATTCCTAGGGGGCAATGTAAACACTGAGTTTTTTCTGAAAAGGCAGTGTTTCCATGAAAATGCCTGAATGCAATGATTATATTCACCAGAACTGCATTAATCTGTAATTGTTATGGTGACTATAGTGTCACTTTAAAGCATGATGTGATTATCAAATAATTTCACAATCTGATCACATGCAACTGAATTGTGCTTTATAGTTGACCTTTCTATTTAAATACTGGCTGCATTGTGTGCACATGCCACTAGTACAGACCATCATGCCCTCTCTCGCAATTTCAGCATATAATTTGAGTCAGAACACAGCTAAGTGGATACCCAGCCGATGCTCTGACTCACTAAGTGTGTGCCGGAACTGCGAAGAAGAGGACATGATGGTCTGTACTAGCGGCATGTACACACAATGCGTTACACCACCAGACCTAAGTGAAACATTTTGATTTAATATATTGCCGATCCAGTAATATTTATATAAAAAAATAAAATGGGGGCAGTATTCCACCCCTGTTGCCATGCCGCCTTGTGTGGCTGCACAGCTCACACATTCCTGTGCAAGCATGGCTGCTGCTGTGACCCCTCACAGCTGCGGCGAGTGCCTCACCCTTCTGACAGCTCTACATGATTGGTAGTGATAGGATAAATGTCACAGGGTATGCCAGATATGTTAAAAAAGAAAAAGTATTACAGGGTGTCCCTGTCAGATCTGTTATTTCTATGTGCAGCTGCAATCTCTTCCCATAACTACTGCAGTAGATCTGTTAATGTGTGGCCTATAAGAATACTATGAATCTGGAAGAATTTTTTTAAGTAATGTTTATCAGTATTTATACACTTAAGTTCAGCAGGGACTGGGTTTGAAAATACTACTCTCAATATGAGATATCTGACATTTTATATTTGCTTTCAATGTTGTGTATTCCTAAAGCTTCTTCGCTAACTGAAGTTGGGCATATGGGTTCAGTCAAGGCCGGTGCAAGGGTTTTTAGCTACACAGGCAAAGGTGTATTTTGTCACCCCTCCACCCTCCAAAAATGCATCTTCACCTGTCTCTTAAATCCCCTCTTGAACTTCACACCTCCTTTAGTGTATCAATTTTTCCCATTTGTGTGTCTTGCACCCCCTTATGTGTCTATTACAACTTCCCTTTGTGTGTCTCTTATGTTCTCGCCAGCCCTTTTATGTTTCTTTATTCCCTGAGACCCTTTGTGTGTCTCCTTTTCCCCCTAACCCCTCTCTGTATCTCCTACTCCACCAATTCCTTTGTGTCTGCTATTCTCCCCTTTTGTGTGCATCCTTCTCCCTCAGCCCCCTTTGTATGTCTCTTTTCTCCTTCCCAGACCTTTTTGTAGGTCTCTATCTCTCTCCCAGCCCCTTTGTGTGTCACCCCCCCAGCCAATGAGTTTCTTTCTCACCTTCCCCAACTACTTTATGAGCTTCTTTCTTACCTTTCCATGCCCCTCTGTGTCTCTCTTTCCCACCAGCCCTACTTGTGCGTTTCTTTCCCCCCTTGACCTCATCACCTTTTCCCATTTCCCTTCAGCACCTTTTCCCCTTACCCCGCCCCTTTTGTCTGTCTCTTTAACTCAACTCCTCGCCAGTGGTTTGTCTAGCTATTCCCCCCTTCTGCCATTCTGCAGTGCCAGCTTATATCCTTTGTAGGGTGGGTGAACAGACCTCGGAAAAGAAGCTTCTGTATTCTCTACCCAGTCTGACAGAAAGCATTTCAGTGCTCTCAGAGAGCAGCTTCCTGTCAAACAAGGTAGAGGATAAAGAAAATCCTTTACCTCAGTCCACCCAGCCATACTACATTAAGTGACTAGCCAGAGGGGGAGCGCTGTGAGCTCTCCCCTCCTGTCAATCACCAGGACTTTACGCCTCCAGGCTGGTTTGCCCTAAGGCGGCCACCTTATGGTTGCTCTGGCCTTGGCTTCAGTGTTAACATGCACAAAAAAACCACACGCGTCATAAACTGCTTTTATGGTCTAAAGAGCCATGGGATGGCTGCATTAACCTTATATGTTAAGAAGCTAACAAAAATGATATTTGATGAGGGCCCCCACACAGTATGTCCCTTGAAGTAGCATATTTGGCATACAAGTACCTTTGTCAGTAGTTGTTCTATTTCCACAGCCATAGTTTCAAACATGTGATCCTGGCTCGACCCATTCAGGAGTGGTGTTGTGTCCGAACTAAAAATGGAAGTTGATTAGTTTTGAAGACTATCATGTCCCTTCTCCAATTAGGTTCATAATCTGCAAAACCATTTAATCGGTTCTGTAGCAGCAATGAATGTGAAGATACTGTAACACAACACACACGATATCAACATAGTGGCCTTAGTGCAACTACAATTAAGAAAGCCCTAAAGGGAGAAACGCGTTGTGTTTTCTATGCTGTTGTTAAATAAAGTATTTTGGCTACCTCAGTACCTGCCTTTTAACCATATATTTGTAGAACTTATTTATTTTTTTACTTTTACTTGACATCTGGACCAATCACCTACTGCAGACAACCAACCAAAGAAATCTTTATTGGGGATTGTACAACCCAGGCTTGATACAAAGAGCGGTTAGTCTGCTCACTCTATTGTAAGTATACACCCTGTTGCAAATTATTATGCAAATAATATTTTTCTCATTTACCTAAATAATTGATGTAAATAACAGCCAGCACAATTCTCATGTTATCAACTATTAAGAGTACAATTCAAATTTTATTAAACAAACCTCCTAATGATAACAGTATTTTTTTTAAAAAAAACAACAAACGTACAATGCACTTTTCCAAATTATTACGCACAGTAAGTTTCAAAACACTTTATAGGTTGTAAAGAACTGAAAATTGTCATTTGTTGTGTTTGCAGCATATTTACTGAAATCAAAAGCTATTGCAATCAAACTTATAACAACATTTTAACTTTTTAAACATTTTAACAGGTCACGTTACATTTTACCATAGGACCCCTTATTTGATAGCAGCTTCACAAGTCTTGCATCCATTGAACTTGTGAGTTTTTGGACAGTTTATGTTTGTATTTGTTTGCAAGATGTCAGAATAGCCTCCCAGAGCTGCTCTTTGGATGTAAACTGCCTCCCACCCTCATAGATCTTTTGCTTAAGGATGCTCCAAAGGTTCTCAATAGGATTGAGGTCAGGGGAGGATGGAGGCCACACCATGACTTTCTCTCCTTTTATCCCCATAGCAGCCATTGATGCAGAGGTATTCTTTGCAGCATGTGATGGTGCATTGTCATGCATGAAGATGATTTTATTACGGAAAGCATAGTTCTTCCTTCTGTACCAGGGAAGAAAGTGGTCAGTCAGAAACTCCACATACTTTGCAGAGGTCATTTTTACACCTTCGGGGACCCTAAAGGGGCCGACCAGCTCTATTCCCATGATTCCAGCCCAAAACATGACTCCACTACCGCCTTGCTGACGTCGCAGCCTTGTTGAAACAGGGTGGCCGTCCACCAACCATCCACTACTCCATCCATCTGGACCATCCAGGGTTGTACGGCACTCATCAGTGAACAGGACTGTTTAAAAATTAGTCTTCATGTATTTTTCTGCCCAATGCAGCCGTTTCTACTTGTGAGCATTGGTTAGTGGTGGCCGAATAGAAGGTTTATACACAGTTGCAAGACTCTGGAGGACTCTACACCTTGATGTCTGTGGGACTCCAGAGGCAACAGCAGCTTCAAATATCTGTTTGCTGTTATGTAATGGTATTTTAACAGCTGCTCTCTTGATCCGATGCATGGATCTGGCAGAAATCTTCCTCAATGTGCCTTTATCTGCACAAACCCGTCTGTGCTCTGAATCAGCCACAAATCTCTTAATAGTGCGATAATCACGCTTAAGTTTATCTAATCTTTCATACCTAGTCCAAAGGCATTGAACTATTTCACTCTTTTCGGCAGCAGAGAGATCCTTTTTCTTCCCCATATTGCATGAAAATGGTGCTCTGCTTAATAATGTGGAACACCCTCCTTTAGTAGTTTTTCCTTAAATTGGGCTCACCTGGCAATCTAATTATCACAGGTGAGATTTTTTTTCAATGATCAAAAGAGCCCTGAGACACAATGCCATCCATGAGTTAAACAGAAAAACTAAATATTTAATCTTTGTGCCACTTAAATAGAATTTGCATAATAATTTGGAACAGGGTGTACATTAATCGTACCATGTGAGAAAACAAATAAAATATATTTTAAAAAATAAAAAATAATATATATATATATATATATATATATATATATATATAAAAAGCCTCTTCTCTAAATCCACAGACCGCAATACATTGCTACATTATCAAAGCGCTCATCCTAGGGCTTTGAAGAATTCCCTTTCGAAGGCACAGTATATGCGGGTTTTTAGAAACAACTCAAATAATGAAACTGTAGAACTCCAGTTACCGGAGATGACCACTAAGTTTTTGGAGAGAGGCTATAGGGACCATGTTCTACATAAAGCGTTTAAAGAAGTACGTAGTGCCTCCTTCAAGATGAAAGAAGATGGTCCGTCAAGATTAGTTTTTTCCCAATGGAATTTAATCAGGTGACCCCACAGATTGCTACTACAGTTCTACGCAATTGGAGAATGATCGCAAAGGACGATACGCTTCCCAAAGTCTTTAAAGAAACACCACTCTTCTGTTACAAAAAAAATAGAAATCTTAAAGACTTTCTCGTACACATGGATCCTATAAATAGTTACCCACAAGATACAGGAATACAGAATCGCGGGTCAGTGCGTTGTTTGGGTTGTGTCACTAGCGGCCATATGTTACCAGCCAAGTCATTTAACCATCCCCACACTAATAAAAAAATATCTGATAAAATCTACCATCACATGCAAGACAACGCATGTAGTTTATACATTAACTTGCACGTGCGGCCTTCCCTATATAGGAAAAACTGAAACAGCCTTTTGTGAGCGAATTAGGGACCATAGGTCTAGCATCAGACTAGCCTATAGGGATGGCACATCAGACAAACCGGTAACAAATTTTTTTTACAAATTGGCCACGCGTTATCACTTAAGTTTGTTGGTATTGATCATATACTATTACCGAAAAGAGGCAGCGATTGGAGCAAGATGCTGTTGAACAAAGAGGCATTTTGGATATATGAACTTGGTACCATATCACCAAAGGGACTCAATGAATCAATTCCATACAATTCCTTTTTTTTTATGAAAACAATTTTTACTTGAGAAAATATTTATTTTTATATTTGGCTTGCATATTGGTTTTGTTTTTATATGATGAAGGTGTACACTAGGGATTTTTCTAAGTAATGCAGCAGGTGTGATGATATATATATATGGAGGTATAGTGAAGGTTGATCCCCATACTTTATTAATCAGGTTGAATTGTCTGTTATGGACTCCCTAAGTACATCCATTTATTTCAACGATTTTTTTCTTTTAGAAGGATGAATATAACACCTAACAGCGACCCAAGTACCCTTTTAAAATATATTTTATTAGTTTTTTTTATCAGCACATCTATTCACTTTAGCACTTCACATTTTATCCCATTTTGGCATTAGACACCACGAATTGTGTCCTGATAAGAGGGTATATTATCTCTCTCTCTCTACACTTTTAAGCATTGCCATGGCTATGTGCCGATCACAGCAGCGCACAAACAGCATTACATCGTGTCCAGGGGCGGAGCTTTCACGTGCATGCGACCGTGACCCACTAGGACGCCGGCGGCGATGCACAGCACCTGTGGTGAGTCTATTTTCCACTTATCTTTCACCTATATATTTGACTGTAATTGTATTTGCATTTTGTGTTTGATCCTGATGAAAGTCCTCAAGGCAGGACTGAAACGTTGATTTCTAATGCATATCCAATAAAGACTCGATATTTTACAAACGAAAACCATGAGTGCAGCTCTCTCCTATAGCTACTTGAATAACGCATTTGCACTGTTTGAGCCGGTGCACAGGGATTTTTGTCTATATATCTACACACACACACACACACACTAGTACAAAACTTATTATAAAATATAAATAAATAAATAAAATAATCAGATAGTACCTATACCTGTCGCGTCTTCCATCCCTAGGGCCACTATGGCTGTAGCTGGTACACAATTTGCTAAAAGACACCAGCTTCAGGTCTAGTTCATTTTCCAATTGTCTGGCTTGTTTTCTCAGATCTGTAAAAAAAATAAAAAAATTGGCATGTTTAATATATACATTATATACACTTAGATGAACATCATGGGGAGCACTGTCCACAAAACATGTTATTTCAAGACAGAGTATTTGGCTAAAGAGATTGTACAAAGACCTCCACTACTTACCCTGCGGCATGCTAACTCTACCAAACTACGCAGTTGACTCTGACCAGTCTGCTCTAACTCCAATATATCTGCTTACTCTACAGTTAACACATATGTCATATGATTTCTACGAGTAATGCATTTAGTTGGATACAGGTTGTACATCTCAATGAACACTACCATTTGTGAAACTAGAAGTTTGTATTCAGTTCTTCAAACTTGTAAGCTGGCTTAAGTATGACACTTCACCTGGATGACATTAAACAGCTGTGTGACAACTCAGACTCCAATTATGTTATGGTTGTATTGTTATGTTAAACGCTTACTGTTATTATTTTATGATTCTGTTAAGTCTCAGAAAGCGAGAGGGACCTGTGTCCCTTGGCAGGTGTCCTGGGTGCTCGCATAACCAGGACATGTGCCAGGGTTCTAACTGTCCCATCTGTCGTTTTCTCTCTGAAGTTGCTGTGCCTCTCTGGTTGTCAGCTGACTGATAATATTCAAATAAATCGTAAAGTTTATAGTACAAAAACAGTGGTTCAGCCTCTGTTATTGGAAAGATGACATGTAACATCAAGTAAATCGGGACAGGCTGTCAATGCTGAGGTAAGCCTTACATTGACATCTAATGTGGAAGGATACGTATGGTTAATGATCTGACCTGCAACTGAGAAGCACGTATTCATAGGGACTCTACACTGTCCAAATACAAAAATGAATAATCTCTGTTTAGTAAATATACCTTCAAAGAAAACATTTAATTATGCATTTTACAATCACAGACTTCCCAATGCAGGTCCATGAGAAGTCTTTGCAAGGCAGGTACTCTGGGCAAGTGCCGGTCTCTTGAGTTTAGCTCCACTGAACTAACCAAAGTAGCAGAAACGGTTGTCTGATCGACAGCCGATAAGTAACAGTGTATTTATGAATGCGCCAATTTCTATTAAAAGAGGACACAACTGTCACATATAAATATATTTAAATCCCCCAGAAAAATACTACTGTCCACTATAACAGTGATTTTCAACCAGCCCGCTGTAGTGGTTATCTTGCCAGCAGTGCCCTGGTTTGACAATTTACCAGGGCCGGCAGGGTACCTGCTGCCAGAAAGCACTTCACTGAGCAAAGCCTGGAGCTGCAAGCAAGTGCTGAGAATGTTCAGCTAAGGTTTGTATCCGATGAGCTTCGCACAGAGGAACTTTGTAGGGGTTTCTCGTTTCACAGGAGCGCATGCCAGGTGGGCCACAGGTAAGCTCTCAAACTGTGTCACTACTTACCCTGGGTGTTCCTTTAAGTCTGTTTGGCTAGAGGTATGCCTATCTCTCCAGTAAGACAGAAAACTAAATGTGATATTGATAACCTGCATACGCAAGTAAAGCAAAAAAAAAAGAAAAATGATATGTGCTTTGGGCCAAAAAAGGTTTGAAACCACTGTAATACAACACATTTTGAACTGAGATTGAGCAAACTGTTGGGAATCAAGCTATTTCTAAAGGCAGAGCTGGGTTGCTGTTGTTCCCATTTACTGCACTGAGCTTTACGATGCTGCTGAGTTGACATATTAAAAATATTCTGATCCAGAAGTATTCATACAAAAATCACATGGCATCACTGAATGGCATCCCTAATCATAACATATTATAGAAAAACAGTTCAAAGCAAAATGAAATGTGTGCATTGTTTGCTTGAATAAAACTTCCAACATCTCTCTCTCTCTATATATATATACACACACCAATAAAGCGAGTCTAATATTATTATTTAAACAACATTTTACATACTAGAAAAGCTACAATTTCTAGGGAAATTGTGTGAAGTGTTCTTGCCTCCACCAGTAGTCTACAACTGGAATGGGCGGAGTAACTGTTATCATTTATATAGCACATTTAATTGCAACGTTGTTGCACAGTTACATTAAACCATACATTTATAAAAACATTAGCAGGTGTTCAAAAGGCCCTGTCTATGACATCACTTGCTGCTGCAGCCTGGCACAGGTCAGAGTATTTTGGCGGTTGCTATCTTCAAACGGTCGTATTTTAAAAACTATAAATCCTACAGCGAAGAGCTTTATATTGTGAGAATCACAAGCCCCAGACCTACATTTTGATGCATAGTATGTCTCTGAAGTATTAAAAATGAAGGCACAGTCACAGTTTAGAAATTGCACTTCAAGTTTGAGCTGGCTGGAGTGAAGTTTCAATGAATGTCAATGGACAGCGTGAGTTGCAAACAAATGGTCATATTGTGAAAACTATCAGGACTATGGCTTAGCCGTGGGCAGCAGGGATAGCTGAACGTTTTGATATAAGATTTGTGTAGGTGGGCTTGAAAATGAGGGAGTGGTGGCAGTTTAGAAATCATGTCCTGATGTTTCAGCTTTTGCCAGCTCCCACTCTAGTTTTGAACATTTTTCCATTCATTCCTACGGGACCAATTTCGCCACAAGAACGACGATATTTCGTGAACCATTTGGCGAAACGTTCCACAAAGTAATAGCAATCCGATCGGGAACAATCTGCACGTTTTGGTATATTTCTCTCTATGTAGTGTAAAAACTGTGGGAGGAGTTAGGGTGGTAAATTTGGCTATAATAAGAATAATAATATATATGAGAGATAACATTAAGTGGTCTTGCTATGCAAGAACACTTAACCCCTTAAGGACACATGACATGTGTGACATGTCATGATTCCCTTTTATTCTAGAAGTTTGGTCCTTAGGGGGTTAATAACAACATGTGACATATCCAGCATAGTGTGGTTGGTCTCCAGGGACCAAAAAAACAAAAGTCCCCAGACAGTAACAGTTTTACTTTATTGCTCACAATCTAAAACAATAACATGGAGAAAAAGTAACATGATTTAAAAATAAAAAAAAATTGCCAATATCATATTAGTGGAGGATAAACTGGAATAATACAATGGGCTGTATTTAATCAATATTCTGACCTTGTTTAGAATAACTAAGTATCCCTTACAAAGGTTTTCAATAAAACTATGTATGCAATACTACTATCAACAAACAAGTGGTTGTTCACAATGCAATACCAGTGACAAGCAAAATGTGCCAAAATAACCTCAATCTGAGAGCAGGACATGACAATATAATGTAATAAAACTATCAAAAGAGGGTAACACAATAACGAGTAAAGCACAGCACAGTCATAAAATGCAGTAATCAAGGACTAACTGACTATATGCAATACATTAATACAGCATATTCATAAACAAAACTCCACCATGATGGAACATTTGGAAAACACCAAATAAATATAGGCAGTCATATAAAAAAAAAGCCATATTGCCCCGCTACAGTCTGTAATGAATGCTTCTGCCAGACTGATTTTCCTCTCTAGTCTGTCCTCTCACACCTCAGCCCTCTGTCAGTCCTTACATTGGCTTCCTGTATCCTATAGGAGTCAATTCAAGGTACTAATTCACACCTATAAAGCACTGAACAAATCAAGCCCCTCTTATATCTCTTCACAGATTTATAGGTATGCCCCTTCTCGGTCTCTCCGCTCTGCCCGTGACCTTCTCCTGTCCACTGCTCGCACCCGTACGGCCACTTCCTATGGAATAGCCTGCCTACAGCCATAAGATTCTCCCCTAATCTTCAATCATGTAAGAAGTGCCTCAAAACCCATCTCTTTAAGAAAGCTTATGGCCTCCCAGAGTAACCTCTACCTTACATACCTGACTCTCTCTCTTGCTCTCTCCTAAAGAGCAGCACTCCTCTCTCTCCTCCAGCTCTGCTTCACTCCCACCCTATTTGATTGCTATTTCCTGTCCTTATGTGTTTTATACCCCACCTTTTATACACTGTAAGCTCGTTTGAGCAGGGTCCTCTTCAACCTATCGTTCCTGTAAGTTTTCTTGTAATTGTCCTCTTTATAGTTAAATACCCACTCTCATAATATTGTAAAGAGCCACGGAATCTGTTGGCGCTATATAAATGGCGAAAATAATAATAAGACAAAATGAAGAAAGAAAAAAGTAGAAAAGAAAAAACTCCAAACTGTACACAGGCAGAAAAAGGCTAATAGTACACCAGACAATCAGAGATACTAGGTGGTTATCCTTTGAGAAAGGCACTAGTAGCTGCGCCGAAACGTTGGGGTTTGAGAAAGGCACAAGTAGCTGCGCCGAAACGTTGGGGTTTGAGAAAGGCACTAGTAGCTGCGCCGAAACGTTGGGGTTTGAGAAAGGCACTAGTAGCTGCGCCGAAACGTTGGGGTTTGAGAAAGGCACTAGTAGCTGCGCAGAAACGTTGGGGTTTGAGAAAGGCACTAGTAGCTGCGCCGAAACGTTGGGGTTTGAGAAAGGCACTAGTAGCTGCGCCGAAACGTTGGGGTTTGAGAAAGGCACTAGTAGCTGCGCCGAAACGTTGGGGTTTGAGAAAGGCACTAGTAGCTGCGCCGAAACGTTGGGGTTTGAGAAAGGCACTAGTAGCTGCGCCGAAACGTTGGGGTTTGAGAAAGGCACTAGTAGCTGCGCCGGAACGTTGGGGTTTGAGAAAGGCACTAGTAGCTGCACCGAAACGTTGGGGTTTGAGAAAGGCACTATAAGCTACACGAAAACATTGGGGTTTGAGAAAGGCACTAGTAGCTGCACTGAAACATTGGGGTTTGAGAAAGGCACTACGAGCTGTGCCGAAACGTTGTGGGTTTGAGAAAGGCACTACGAGCTGTGCCGAAACGTTGTGGGTTTGAGAAAGGCACTAGTTACTATGCCGAAATGTTGGGGTTTGAAAAAGGCACTAGTAGCTGTGCCGAAACGTTGGGGTTTTGTTCTGTACACGTGCCCATTCCTTTGTGGAAATATGCAAGTGAGCTTTTATGCCTGTTTGATTTAGAGAATATTTTATAGCCTCTGTCACTGGTTGTTATAGTCTTGTAACAGTGTTTATTTTGCATTTTTTTTTTTTATTTAATTTGTTTGTATAATAAAGAGATTTGAGTTATTAACGAAGGTGTGCTTCTTTTTGTACATAGTAATATGTTGGTTGGCATTAAGAGATGCCTCTTTATGATAGCACCCATAGGTGTTATGTGAATTGCAACCAATTTCCAATTGAATTTGTTTAGATACAAATAAAATGCAGCACAACCATGTTGCAAACACAGCTAATGGATAAATTTAGACCAGTGGTAGTCAACCTTTTTCTACCTTCCGCCCACTAATGCATCTTTCTTGATGGAAAAATTTCCTTACCGCCCACCAGTTTTCGCGCAAGTGCAGAATATTTTTTAGAAAGGAGGGTGTTTTAAAAATAAAAAAATAAATGTACATACATTTATCTTTTTATTTCTACTTTATGCATGTTTATAATGTTTTAACTTTATAAAGTTTAATGAGAAAACAATAAAGTAAATTGAAATTACCTTTACTAGTGATTAATGAGATCCTTGAGGTTGATGTTGCGAGACTAGATATTTGATATCTGGTTCAATTTTCGTAAGGAACAAACGAAGGTCTCCTCTTTCGGTGATATTCAGACGAGTTCTCTGTTTGCTCATAATATGATTTCTCATCTGTGCATCAGCTCCCCTCCTCACCTTTTTCTTCTTCCTTTTTTCTATTTTTTTAACCTTCCTTATAGCAATGCCCAGTAGGAAGACTGAGCTACGCAGCCCACTTACTATTAACCAACAACAATTCTCTCCTTTTCCTTTTCTCCCTTTTTTACAAGTACTCTACTCCTTCTTCCTCCTATTCTACAAGTACTGTGCGCCTTCTGATTTTTACAAATACTCTGCTCCTTCTTTCTTCTATTCTACAAGTACTCTGCTCACAGTCACACACACACTCACACATACACTCACACTTACAGACACACACATTCACAGACAAACATACATATAAACACTCACAGACAAACATACACACACTCACACATACACTTACAGACACACTCACAGAGAAACACAAACACATACACACACAAATTATTAATACTGAATGTCCACCCAGCCTCCCTACCTGGAGAGCTGGTGTGGATCTGTCCCTGGGGTCCAGTGGGGCTTCACTTCGGCGGGCGGCAGAGTAATCCGAGGCGCGAGGGAGCTCTAACCTCTCTGCTCTGCTCCCTCGCGGGCAGTCTCCTGATGCCGGGATCCGGAATATGATGTCATATTCCGGCTCCCGCTGCATCAGAAAACATTGCGTGAGGGAGCAGAGAGGTTAGAGCTCCCTCACCGCGTCTGATCTTACCACTGCCGCACGCCATGCCGGGGCGTCCAGAAGGTGGCCTGGCAGGAGACCTGCCGGTCACTGAAATCTTGCACCCGCATAGCCGCTCGCGCCTGCCCGCCCACCCAAAAGGAGAAATCTTCTAAAAAAGAGGATTTAGCCGCTGAAATCCTTACCGCCAACCTGGAATCCTGAAATGCCCACTAGTGGGTGGTAGGAACCAGGTTGACGACCCATGATTTAGACAGAATTAAAATGTATACAGTCTACAAGACAATACATTTTCCCCTTCCATTAAGCAGATAACTGTTATATAACTTACCAGGTCCTATATGGATCTGAAGAAACAACACTCTCTAAATGAACTCATGCAAACATAGTACTGAGTCCATTTAACTCCTTAAGGACATCTCTGTCGTGCTATTAAAGAGGCACTGTCACTTCCCCAGAAAAATTTGCATTACATAAAGATAGAATCATTACAAATATTTATGACTGTGTTGGAATTTCACTGAAATCCCAACCTAGTCAAGCGATATACGGAGACAAAGTAGAATGCCTAATTCTTCTAGACACTAGACAGAGCTACTGGCTAGCTAGAAGTGTCAATCCCCCCAACCAGTGACAGCTGCAGGGAATTGGCTTGGTCTATGGAGGGCTTCTCTGGATTTTGCATGCGCAAGCGTACAGCAGTGATGTTGACTCTTGGTGATGTTGAACAGGACCCAGCCTCTCCTATGAGCGACTGGTAATTAGAACTCACCTTTAACATCATCACTAAGAAAAAGACTCAGGGATAACCTATCTCCCAGAAATGGCCATTTTCACAGAAACATAATGTTACTGGAAAGAAGTAAGCTAAATGATCATCACCATATAAAATAGGCAAATTATTCTTAATGACAATCTACTGCAGACTGTAGGGAGTTGAAAAGAACACGCAATCGGTACCTTGTTTTTTCTTTTTGTGCACACCTTTTCTAAGATCCCTCCTCTTATTCTCTGCAATATTAAACGCAGTTCAATGGACCAAACGGGGTATTTCCTATCCATCAAGTGCTGCTTTAGACAGACTGCTCAAGAAAATGTGCATAGTTCCTACAGTTTTGTCTAAGCCAGAATGGTGGCCTCTAAAAGGGAGTTGATGTCTGTATCTTTCCTATTAATGTAGGTCAATATAGAACCATTCCTCGCATTCCCAATGGTAAAATCTAAAAGAATTTATTAATGTATAACTGCATGGTGAATTTCAAACAAAGTGTGTTGTTATTAACATATGCAAATAAATCATCCAGGACATGTCAACCCCTAGTCCACACAAAAATCTTATTGTTGATATATCTACTGTACGATATGGGTTACTATCTCCATAGACTTGAGAATCTTCCTACCATTACATTAATAAGATGGCATGGGTGGGCGCAAACTTGGCACCCCTCAAAGTGCAACACCTCTGGATGTAGGAAGACCCTTTGGAAGAAATTATATTCAAGAAAATGTTGTATGGCTATAATAATGAATTAAATCAATACATCTGAATAGCCGCTTTATTTTCCAAGATGATAATGAACTGCCTGTAAACCAAGGTAATGTGGAATGTCAGAATACAGGGACATGATGTCCATAGTCACAAAACAATGACCATCCTGCATCTGGAAAACCTTCATAAATAAAACTTGCTTAGTATCGCTCAAATTACAAAAAAACAAAAACAAAATATTAATAAGAGCTGAAGAAGAAAATCAATGAATTCAGAAAACCACTAATTTGAAGAGCCAATACCAGATGCTATTGGCTATTGACAATATGGATTTTAGGGAGAGGATAGAAGATCGGCATTACAGGGGACAACGGAATAAGATCTTGAGCCAAATATTCCTCTAGAACATCTTCCCCTACTCCTTAATCAAATACATGAGATAAGTAGTCAGATGACTGGACAACAAACCATATATAGATATAGATATATATATATATATATATATATATACACATAGAGAGAGAGAGAGAGAGCGAGAGATAGAGATATATATATATATATATATATATATATATATATATATATATATATATATATATATATATATATCTATCTACCTATCTCAGTCATTTAACTGGCATTCCCGCCTCTTTTACTTAACACTCTTCATTAAAGGGATACTATAGTGCAGGGCTTGACAAATTCGCTTTCAATCAAGGAGCCAACTAAAAAAAAATAAGGAGCCAGTTTTTATTCAGTGTCAAAAATACAATTCTTAAGGGGACCCTATAGTCACCAGAAACACTACAACTTAATTTAGTGACTGGTGTCTATAACATGTCCTTGTAGGTTTTTCAATGTAAGTTCTGCTTTTTCAGAAAAAAGACAGTGTTTACCTTGCTGCCTAGTAACACCTCTAATGGCAGTGACTCCAACAGCCACTAAAGTGTCTCCTATCTCAGTGCTGCACAATATGCAGCACCTACATTCAGCGTGGCAACAGCGTTGAAGTTCTCTATAGAGATGCATTGCTTTAATGCTTCACTGTGAGGAGATGTTGATTGGTAAGTGATAATCTCAGTTATGCACGCTGGCCAGCTGCAGCGAGACTGGCACGGCGTTGGAAAACAGGTGAGTAAAAACATCATTCCCATGCGATCGGAGGGGGGCTGGTGACCTAAACATACACATTCACTGACAGACTGACATACACACACATCCTCACAAGATATTTATTATTTGATACACACACAAAGAATCATAGATGCACACAGACGTACATGCATGACAGATATACACATAGAAATAAAAAAAGTGAATACATATTTTTAGCCACTCTCCTGTTTCCTGTGGGACTGGGCACAGCAGGAGGCAGTTTGGTGAGGCTGGCTGCGCCTAATGGGAGTGGGCGGACGCTGGTCAAGACTTCTCTCCTCCACCTGTCTCGATATCACATGTAGCTCACTGTGCGCCGGGAGGAAGTGATCTGCAATTACTTCCTCCCGGCGCTGAAGCCGCGCAGGGGAACGATTGTGCGGGCGGTCGGGTCTGTGAAATGGGGGCACGTGGCAAACAGAGACGATTTTGCCAGTTGTTCTGCTGTGCTGTCTCAGCGCCAGGAGAAAGTAATTACAGTTCACTTCCTCACAGGACACTGGCGCACAGAGCGCTACACTGGATTGAGATAGGAGGAAGAGGAGGGAACGGGCTGACCAATTCCAGGAGCAAGGGTAAAATTCTTAGTCGCCGTGGATTTGTCGAGCCTTGCTGTAGTGCCAGGAATACAAAGCTGTATACAGCTTCTTCTGCCTCCTCCTCCCTCGCGCCCCTTCACAAAAGAGTTAAAAAACCTGGGTCGCGGCTATGCCTCCTCCGATGTCCCTCGATCGGGCGCTAATGCGGCAAATACCACACGCACATTGGGCCTCCCCATATGAAAGCATTGAATCAATGCTTTCCTATGGGGAAATAGCTGACGCTGGATGTCCTCATGCAGAGCATGAGAACGTCCAGCGTCAGTTACTAGACCAAAAGTCTGTTAGGACGCATGGGAATGACGAGTGGTAGACAACCACTGCAAGTAGACTTAGTGCTGCAATGTAAAAATTGCAGTTTCTCTGGAAGTGCAATGTTTTACATTGCAGCGCTAAGTGCAATAGGAACACTTTAATGAGCTAAAGTAGTCTGGGTGCCTATAGTATCCCTTTAAGGACAACAATCCTTGTACTCCCTTTTTTACTACTATAGAATCTAGATGTATCCTTTTCTCCACTGCTGCCACTCAGACAGGCACTAGAGGGACTTCCTAGATGAGTTCTTGCAACCTTTGATTGGGTGAGTTTACCAAGATTGATGATGATAATCTCTGCCAGTGAGGAAGAGTGGCCAATGACAAAATGCGCACTATGGGATATAAATAAATAGTGAGTAGAACACTATAGCAGTAAGAATACATGTTTGTGTTCCTAACACTATAGTGTTATTTCAAGAGTTTTTACTTAACTTAGTATTTCAAACAGTTCAATTTCCTGTCATGTTTTTTGAAGGGGACCCATATGTACATCGGATCAGGAGGGAAATCCATTCTTCATTTGTAAATTTCCTTCACATGTTTGCCATTAGTTTTTAAAAGTTACCAGAACTAGTACATCAGGGCTCGACAAATCCCACGCGCCAGGTCACCATAGCGACTAGGAATTTTGTCCTGGCGCCTGGGTGCGGCGGCTGCAGAATGGAACTGGGTGGCGAGGGAGCGGAAATCTTTCTGCTCTTCTCCCTCGCGTGCCCTGCTGTGATGCCGAGAGATGGTGAACACAGCAGGAACAACTGGAAGATTACAGCAGCCACACTGGACCCCAGGGAAAGGATCCAATCCAGCTCTCCAAAAGGTAAGGAGGTTGGGTGTCTTCTGTGAGTGCATCTGTTTAGGTGACCAGACCCCCCTCCAATCGCATTGGAAAGGAGTTTAAACTCACCTTTTTTCCCATACAGTGACAGTCTCTCTGCAGCGGGCCCGGTCTCCATGGCTGAAACAATCTTGATTTCAGCCAATCCAAAGTTTCCTACAGGAAAGCATTGGGAGGCTATTGCGCATTCAGTGCATCTCTATGGAGAACATTCAGCGCCTCCATACAGAAGAATGAGAAGCTGAACATAGATGCTGCACTGTGCAACTGTGCACTCTGCAAACCAACTAGTTTCATACTGAAGAATGCATGAATAAAAACAACAAAAATAAATATAAACAAAGAACGTGTTTCTCCGTATTGTAGAGCTCTATATGAGAGCTTTAGAATTAAAATGTAGTATATACTGTAATATTAAATTTTAGCCCTTTATAGCATATGAAAGAATCTACTATTCTAAATTCTGATCTCCAACAATAAAACAATGTCACGATTTTGTATTTTAGCTTAAAAGAACATTGTAGCCACAAGAATGGCTTCATCTTATTGAAGATATTTTAGTGCCATAATGTCCTTTGTCCCAGCATTCAGTTCTCCAGTTTTTTTTGTATAAAAGCCTGAAAGCGGATCTTCTACCCTCTGAATTAAAGTGCTGGGAAGCATACTTTATAGTTCTCATACCAATGTTAGTGATGTAAGCATGCTTAGTGGGCTGACTTTGTTTGACCTACACTTGCTGTTAATTGGAAACCAGCGCTGGAAAGTCAAAAACGTGTAATGGATAGTGTTGCACTGGGCCGTGTACATGCGCATAGCACTGGCCATCACTGCAGCTATGTTTAGCTACAAGAAGCATTTGATTGGAGGATTGGGTCCATCATCATGCATGTGCCTAAGTGCCATGATGCTTCTCTGAGAATCTGTCAAACGTGCACTAGAATAATGATAAGTAAATGGCGATTTGGAATAAAAATGGAGGCCCTGAAATCTAAAAAACTACAAGGACACAGGTCAAAAAAAAAAAAATTACACAAAAGTATTTTTTTTCTCAAAGCGATGTGTTCCTTTAACACTAAAACAAATTGTACATTTTGTACATTCACTCCAGTGTAGATATATGAGGAAAAAAAGGAAAGAAATAAATCACTTATATTTAATACCCTACAATGTAGCACCGATAAGAAATCAATTACCACTGGAAAGAACAATATTATAAAATGGTGCATTTTCTATGGAAAAAAATAATTATTATACCACAGGGTTATAAGGAATCTTCAATGACAGGTGCCTGAACACAGGAGATGACAGCAGTTTAATAAGCAGTGCATGACAGTAATGTCAACTTTCCACAAGCATCTTTTGGGTGTGTGTCTCAAACAGAAGGATTGCCTCTGTGTGCTTAGCAACTGTAGCCTATTGTAGACAGGGACCTCAAAGTATTGTTAGCATTAGTAATACTTTACTTTTAAGTCTTGTGGAGGGTATGAAGCCTCAAGTGTCCTTGCAAGAATTAAGTATTCTGCATCATCAATGTCAATTTTATTCGACCTGGACAGCAGTGGTTGGCTGAGTGCTCTAGGGAGTTTAGCCCACTAAATGCAGACCTGATTGGACGAAATTGACATAACTAATGGGGAATTGCAATTCCTCATTATCAATATGGCAGAGGAGGATGTGATCTATAGACTCCATGAAGGAACCAGATTTATGTCAAAAGTCTATGTCATGACACTCTAGTCAACATAACCACGATGGTGAGCTTGATTTGTTACGTGTCACTGGCTATGTTGTTTTCTCCCACGGAGGACCTACATCTGCACTCCTAGACACATGAGCACACTGTTACACACAAACACAATTGTACACTATCCATTTCAAATATTTTACCCTTAAATTAGAAAATTTGCTTTAAATGGTCACTTTATTGAACAACCCTGTATGTCTCCAGAGCCCTTCCTCCGAATGGTATTATTTTCCCATATCACATGGTTCACTGTTATGTATACTAAAAAGAGCCAGAGATACTCTAATATGAACATATCAACCAGGGGCACTAAATAGCCGTATATTACAAATGATTTATAAAGTAGCTATTGTCATACAAAAGTAATGCAAATACGTAAACTAATTTGGGAAATGAACTAACTCAGACAGGTAGATAAGTGCTTGTCCAAATAACACACAGCTGTAATATAATGGTAGTAGATAGACTGTAAGCTTGTTTGAGCAGGGTCCTCAACCTAATTTTCCTGTAAGTTTTCTTGTAATTGTTCTATTTGTAGTTACATCCCCCCTCATAATACTGTAAAGCGCTACGGAATCTGTTGGCGCTTTATAAATGGCAATAATAATAATAATAGATCAGGGGTGCTCAAAAGCTAGATGCCCAGATGTTGTGGAACTACAACTCCCATGATGCTTTGCATGTCTTTAGAATGCCAAAGCATCATGGCAGCTGTAGTTTAAAAAAAATATATCTGGTGGATCTACCTTGTGGGCTCCCCTGTAGTACACGTTAACACAGTCCTATCAGATTCCTATATTTACAATGGTGTCCATGGTAAGGGACCTAGATATCAGGGCGCTGGGGTTGTTGTAGTTCTGATCTAAGGAACTAGAACCAGGGGGTGGGCAAACTTTGTCTCTCCAGATGTAGTGAACTACATCTCCCGTGATGCTTTGCCAGCATCATGGCTGTAATAGCATTATGGGAGATGTAGTCCACAAGATCTGGAGTGCCTCTGAACTAGCCCATGCTAGTAATCAAAGTGTGTACAGGTCGAGGGGTTACAGAAGCCTTTCCTGTGCTGCCCCCAGTGCCCAGCTCCCATGTTATTAGAGTGAATTTCCCAATTACTTCACTTTCACTTCTTGTAATCAGTGTGACCGGCTCCATACACCACTAGCCCTCCATTCCTGAGTGCCCAAACACATTCATTGCCAGGATACCCGGGACTGAGCCTCTCCATCATGTATCCGGTATCTCCGATCCCGGTATCCGGTTCTCACCTTCCCAGTAGTTGCTGCTTCCAGCGGCCATCTTTGTTGTCCAACGTCACCCAGTCCGGCGAGCGGCCAATAGAGAGGAGACTGGCAGAATGATAGAGCGTCGCTATGACGGACCCGATTACAGCTGGCTGGGTTTAGCTGCGAGTGCGACACCTGCTGGAAAGCTTGTGCAATGCACGCGTTCAAAAAAAAATTGGGTAAAAAAAAAAAAGGTGTGGGCTGTAGATGGGGTTCATTTTGTGAATTAATTTGCTCAGGGAAATCACTTGTCTATGGCGTTTATTTAAAAGGCTTGGTCGGTTTTAGAGGTAATGCCTATTTAAATGACTAAAAGTTAGATATTAGTCTAAATTAATTTTGTTTAACTTTTTTTTTATCATTTGCTTTAAAGGTGTTCTCTGTGCACCATAACCACTACAGTTATGGTTACAGGTAGCATGCATTGGTTCTATGTTAACGATTTTTGAGTGTCAGACAATCAACACCTTCCAAATTTGGACAAAACTGACATTATTATTATTATTATTATTATTATTTATAAAGCAGCAACAAGCTCCGTAGCGCTGTACAATGGGTGGACTAACAGACATGTATTTGTAGCCAGACAAGTTCGACAGACAGGAACCGAGGGGTTGATGGCCCTTCTCGATGAGCTGACAATCTAGAGAGAGTGGGGTAAAGTAACACAAAAGGTAAGGGTATGGTAGAAAAGTAGGTTGCTAGGATAGTGTTCATTGAGGGCTTAGTGTTTTGTTTTGATGACAGTTTCAGGAGAGAAATCAGGGTGCAGGGAGGGAAAGCAGTTCACAGTTTAATTGATATGCGTTTGTAAAGAAGTAAGTTTTAAAAGATTTTTTGAAGGAGTGGGGATTGGGTGAGAGTCTAACAGAGAGGGGAAGGGCATTCCATAGGAACGGTGCAGCCCTAAAGAAGTCTTTAAGGTGAGCATCAGAGGTACCCAGACCACATCAGCTCATGGAAGTGGTATGGGTGCAGTGTCCCAGGTCCCTTAACCCAGCAAAGGTAATCATTGCAGTTTTTGATAAACTGCAATAATGACCTTTGAGGGTTAACTCCATCTCTAGAGGCTGTCTACCAGATAGCCACTAGAGGGACTATTGGTGGTTAGTCGACTTCTGGTCTCCTAACTGAAGCTGGACATCCTCAGGCTCTGCATGAGGACATCCAGTGTCAACCAAAAGTCCTAATGCGAGCGAGGCTGAAGTCGGCAGAAGAGTGGAGGCCGACCCTGAACCAGTGCGAGTGACATCGGTGCTGGGATCAAGTACGTTTTTAACCTCTTCATCCACACTGGGAGGGGGGCATTAGGGCAGGAGTCACTATAGGGACCTATAATTTTCCTAGCACTATAGTTTCCCTTTAATCCAGAAAATGGCTTTCCACTTGAATCCAACAGCTTAGACTGACCCTTTAAATAAATACAAGGTCATACATCCCGGGCCGTATTTAGGAAGACAGTCCATATTTTGGGCCCAAATCCCTCTGTCCCTTATTTCTATCCTAATATCTCTCTTTTATTACACACACTGATTCCTAAACACATTTATTGTAGTTTTTAAAGGGACACAACAGACGCCTTCTTGGTGCACTCCTCTGGTTACCTTAACCCTGCAATGTAAAACACTGCAGTTTTTGAGAAACAGTCACTAGATTTATTTCCTGCATTTTTACTGAATCTGACTCTATGAAACAATGCTAGAGGACCTCACGTTGTGCATGAAGATGGTCAGCATCAGGCAAATTCCCATAGGAAAGAATTGGTATTGCATGTGCATTAAGTCACCCTATCAGCTGTCAGTGGGAGACGAGCATGACCCAGCGTTGATGAGGAATATTGGCACTGAAATGGTGTAATTGTAACAAGGATTTTTTTAACTCTTTTTTGGGGGCGTTGGGGGTGCAGAATGTTATTCCGAACACTATAGGTTTCCTTTAAAGACACATTACTATGAGTACTATTGATGTGGAGCTTTGATTTAAATTCAGACACACAAGAATGCTGAGCCACTAAAAAGATACATTATTCTAGTTGTAAATTGCATTTTTATTCTATACGTTGTTATTAGTAAGTCAACTGAAATTTCTCAGACAGACCCTGTCCCTAGTCATACCCCTTAAAATAAAGTGTCCCTCTTTCTTCGTTTGAAATTTTGGAAGGTGTGAAAGATTGTTCTAGGCTAGCTTGAAATGTAAAAGAAAACAGAACACACCCAGAATAAGTAGTTATTATTTTTGAATGAATTCAGGACTTTACAGCAGAACTGATAATTGTTTGTTCTGGGTGTCTTTCCTTTTACTTCACCAGATTCCTTCAAGGTTATTTACTGAACACCATACTATAGTTAGCTGAAACGGAACATGCCAATTTCAAACTTTGCTATTGTCGTGTTATAGATAGTTTTGCCTAAATTTAGCAATTTGTGTTTTATTTCACAACAATCTGGTGTTGCGTGCAGGGCCGGCCTTAGGGGTGTGCGAGCTGTGCGGCCACACAGTGCGCCATGGAACAGGGAGCGCCGTGTGGCCGATAAAGCCCACACATGGCCGGCCGGGATTAAAAAAAAATAAATAAATAAATAAAAAAATTTGCGGCGGAGCATGCCGGATAACTGCTGCAGGGGAAGCAGTCCCTGCTTCCCCAACAAACAGCCTCCAGGTAGGTATGTGGGGTGGGAGGGGGGTGGGAGTGGTGTGTGTGGATGTAGACATGCACAGTAGATTTCCTGTAATACGTAATGTTATATAAATAATTATACTTTTTGCACTGAATGTCTATGATTGGTTGATTTTGTCTCCTGTTGGATACATCCCTATGAAAACTGTGTTTGTTTCATATATACGGTGTACCGGCATTTTAAAAAAAAAAAAAGCACTATCTTTCTGGAACTTCATCATGACTGTTGTACATTAATTGTTCTCTGCAATGAACATACATAAAAAGAGTAAGGAATGCAGGATGTGTAACCAGCATGAGTCCATGGCAGCGTAAGGGTTACAGACCCTGTCAAATTTTGCGACTGAACAGACAGTAAGGCAGAGAATGCTGCTGTGAATGGTAAGCCAGTGGCAAGGACCTCCAGGCACCATATCAACTTCACGAAAGCAAAAAGACAGGGAGGGGCAGAGCAGTGCGGGAGCACACAATATGGGTTAAACCGTTTGTGAACAGTTTAACCTCCTAAAGATATGCCATCGCCGGGGACCTCCTGGCACCATAACAACTTCCTTTTGAGTGTGTGTTTAATGTATTAATGCACTATATTTCATATGTACCTGTCACAATCCTCCAAGTGCTACCTGAAAATATGCATCAATTGTCAGAGAAAATGGTAGCTGCAATTAACTCGAAATGCATCAAAACAAAAGCATCTTTCTTTATGTAGAAAGATTGTAGCTACACAACACAAGAGAATTTATTAAATCTCTCACTAGCACTTACTGGGATGAAAATGTGGCAACCAAAAGTGTGACATAATGTGAAATATTTTATAGAACTAGTAGATGGGATATAGAGAGCTATCCTGAGACACTTGTCTACCAGCAGAGCAATAATCTTAGAAACCCAACAAATTTGATTGCTGACTGCGTCACATTTATGCGCCAGAATTATACCCAACTAATTAATCCACTGCATTCAATGCTATCATGCTTTATAGGGCATCTATGCCTCATTGACAGCATGGATCAGCATGTAGTTTCTATATCAGACAGAGAGAGTTTTGTTACTACAAATAAACAAGTAAATCTTATTTTCTGGTTTCCTTTATCTGCACTCATTTTGAACAAATAATAATCAACACTGAGAAAAAGAAGGAAAAAAAACTACTTTTTTTCCATTTTACAGATAGACAAACCGAACATTCTGAACTTCATTAGGATTTAAATCTATCTGATGGAAATGAATTAGCACCTCCTAGTGGAAAATAAGAATAGTAACTTTATATCATTACATTCATGCTTACACTATTCTATGCTGACGAATATGAAACACTCCTTTTCTGACAATGAAAATTAAGCTGAAAAATTAAACCAATATCATATTGCTTTGAATCATACATAGATGATAAATGGGTAAATGGATTAGAAGGTCAATAGGCTATCAAGCTTGTATGTTCTAACAATGAGAACCAATGCAAATGTTTAGGGATTACATTTCCAATTAATATCATATGGAAGGTGTATCGGATATATATTGGGAATGAGAAATTGATGTTCTCATTAAGTTTGCTGGAAACATTGCACATGTAACAGATTATTGCAATATGGTTAATCCTGTTATTGTTCTATTTGTGTGTAAAACCATCAGTTGAAGAGAATGCTAATGAGGTGAGGTCACTGTTATGGTCAGCATGATCAGAGGATGTCCTCTATGCTGCCGCTAGGAAGACTTTGCTTGGCGTATGAAATAGAGTAAGCCGTCCTGCTACCTTTGAAGAGGAGCTCTTGCATTTCATGAATACAATTCTGGTGGCTGAAGAGACATTTAATATAATTGTCCCAGGAAGTATGAAACACATTTTTAGTAAGACACTTCAGCAACAGCCATGTATGTTGAAAGGATAGTATAGCAGGAACCCAGATGCAGAGATGTCTACACCAGTGAAATAAGACACAGAGGCTGGTCATTAAGTCTGACCTTATAGACAGTGTTTAGCAGAACAGGGCAATCGGAATTAAAATATCAAGATATTGTGAGGCAAAAAACATAATCAGTCCAGCAGCTTAGCTTCATAGTTTGTAAACACAGCAAAGTTACTGAAAAATAATGGACTCTCTACTAAATCACAGTAAGCAGATCTACAATAACCAAGAAATGGAGAAGTGGCGTTTTAGCATTTAATGATTGAGAGACGTAATACATCTTATAGAATCATGCATTGTAAAAATGTATATACCTCGTTTGCCTTGGTGATCTGCTGAAGAGGCTGCTGTAGCATAGCCTGTCTTGAGGTTTCAACCTAATACGGAGCCATTTACAATACAGCATACTGTAGTGGTTATGGTGCTAGGAGTGTCCTGGCAAACCTCCACCAATGTAACTAGGGTTGACAAGTTTGGCATTCAGAAGAAACCAGATAAGTTGTCAACCGTCACCTCCATGAGAGTCTGTCAGTATTGAGCCAAGTCTGGTGGTCAAACAGAAGCTCCTATTTGCTCCTTATATCTGGGCAGAGTGAGGGTCCATCATCCTGTGACCTGTGATCCTGCCTCCTGGTGCTCCACCAGGTGCAGGTAATCATGTCATCAAAACCAGCATCATCAATATATTGGCCGGCACTTACCTGCATAAATGAAGGCAGCATCCACAAAGAGTAACAAGTAGCCTTAGTAACTTCAGTATTGCAGTATATGGATAGTTCTTCAAACCACAAAACTTTATGTAGAAAGTTATTTACACTCTTCACAAGTTTTTATTTATTTATACCTTTTGGTGCTTCAACACTATATAACCCCCAAACAATGTATGGCTAAAAAAAGAATAATAAGAATAATGTGTAGATCATCTAAAAGCTATCTGGGGTTTATTTAAATGGAAATAGTCATTTACCAGGATTCTTAACATTGTGTTTACTTATCTCATAATAAATATGTGAGATGTAAAAATGAAATTTACAAATCCTGCCTCCAACTTAGTTCTCTGTCAGTCATTATAACCTCTGTCCTTTGTGTCTGGAAGTCTATATTTTTGACTTGTCTGAACTAAATTATGATGTCCTTTGGTAAATATTCAAGTGTTAACAGACTTTAGAAAATAGCCAATTTTAAGCTTAATGTAGTGGTTCTGGTGGCTAGAGAATATTCCTGCAGTCTTAGCACAGTAAACGCTGCCTTTTCAGAGAAAATTCAGTGCTTAGATTACTGCCTCGTAAAACCTCTAGTGGCACACTCAGACAGCTCTACATGGAGACGCTGAACCCTCCTCATAGATACACTGATTCAATGCATCTCTAGGAAGAGATGCTGATTGGCACAGCAGTGTTTTGCCATGCATTCACAATATCTTCCAAATGCTTTCCAACAGGTGGTGATGTAAAATAGATCTCCTTGTTGTTTTCGATTGCCTTGATAACAGGAGGGTTTTGCTAGACCTCTACTGATATTTCTAGGGTTTTTTTTGTTGTTGTTGCGTTTTTCTTTTTTTTTATTGTCTTCCATCTGACCAAGCCTGCTTTTTAGCACATAGCTTCAAGTGGTTTTCCATCCATAACCATTCAACCATCTCTGTTGTAAAATATAAGACAAGCATGAATTAAGTTATTGGTAAATTGATAGAAGACAGCCACAAATCCACTTGAACAGCAGCATATTTTTTATCTTTGCATTAATAAATAAAAAAAAAAAGCTGCTGGTAATGAATGATATTCTATAGGAATGTGTGGGATACATGTAGTCTCCAAAATAATTTGCAGTAGAATGCTACTATGATTTATTTGTAGAGCTTTACCTATAACCCATTAATACACCCTGGCGTATCTTTTTAAACCAAGCTTCCTCAACTAGTGATCTACTGGGAGAAAGGTCAAAGATCTTAGCAATGAGTAGCTACATAAAACCAAGCAAGTCACTCTTCCATATTGAGCAAATCATTAAAGGAACAATAGGCACCATAATTATTTAATTGGAATGAATTGGTTATGGTTAGTGATGTCGCGAACTTTTCGCGAACGGTTCACCACGAACGGTTCACCGCGAACTCTGGTCAGCTGACACATCCCGGCCAATCTGCAGCAGACTCAGTCATATCGTCTTTATAGACAAGGTTTCAGGCTGCTCTAAACTGAAAATCTATAAACACAGTTTTACTTTCAATGTGCCCAGATCACGCCAAGAACACTATATATTGTAAATTACCCTTTTGCCTTTTTATGTCTTCATAAAAGTACACAATTAGTTTGTAACACTAGTCCTTGCAGGATACGGTTTTCACAACAGGTTGTAATGTATAAAGGATTCAGATGGACTACAAAAATGCTAGATTTTCTATCACTCCAATTTAACCCATGCATATTTTTCTGAACTCTCCTCCCAACAAATGCAAAATAATTAACACAGTTTAATAACAGAAGCCATTTTAGTGAGAATGTCTGGGAAATGTATTTTTTTTCAAAGCATATCAAACTTTCTGACAGAGACAGTGTATACATTTTCCATGGTAAGATCTGGCAGCACAATCACTTCCTATATCAAATCCTTCCAGAGCTGCAATAAGGCACTTTAGGAATCATTCGATTTATGTATCACAGAGAATAAGATGCCAAGTAATGGTCAAGAGTGCCTTATTTCATATAAGATGTAAAAAAGAAAGACATAATACTGCAGGGCGTACTCTGTTTCCATGTGTACAGCAGCTTGAGGCAGGAGGTGATCAGTGCCCACTAATGTCTATTTGTGGCTTTTATGACCTTAAAAGGCAGGAGAACCAATAGATACCCCTCCAGCTGCTGCACTACAACTCCCAAAATGGCAGAGCATAATAAGAGTAGTAGATAGAACAGTTGCGGCTGCACCTGGATTAAAGAGTTGTAGTGCATCACGAGCAGCCACAGTATAATGGGATTTGTTCAAATGCTGGCTACCACTGTGCTGCATACTTCAAGAATAGTCAGATAGTGGATAACAGAGATTAAGACAGCACAGCTAACCTTGAAGCTATTGGGCATGTTAGCCGCTTATCTTTGCTTCTGTTACAAATGTGCAAGCTAATCATTTATCAGCAAATCCCTCCTGGTGACATAGGTCAACAGCTTTACAGGCTGTGATGTAAATAAATCTCACGCTAAAATATCATGCATAATTAAAGCAAAACTAGAGTTGATATTTCCCATGGAAATTAAACAATGTAATCTAAAATGGCAGAGTAGTGTAAGGCAGTGGATTTGGCAGCTAGTGTTAAAAGTATGGAATTTATGTTGAATGCTTATCCAACTCACCTTCCACAAACACATGGAAATCTTACAGCCACAATATTGAAACCACCATTAAAACAGCTTTGAAACTGCACTGCAAAGCAATATGGTAGAAATAGAATGTATATACACACAAATTGGGATCATTTAAAGATAAGCAAAAAAATAAAATAAAAACCATGTACCCTATCAAAATGGAACACTGCCAATTATAAACTAAATGTCATTATATTCCTGTATTAGGAACAGTAGTGCATTTAACAGCATGACCTTGTGAATGAAATGGGGGAAAGAAAATATATAAAAAATTCACCCAAAAGCCCATTTACTGCTATATTAACCTCAAGATTCAATATCCCCACAACCCACATCCCTACTAAGAAAATGAGCAAAACTTTGTATGGTTGGTAGCTGTATAAGTTTTAAAAGGTGCTTATTGCCACATTGATGGTAAGAGTAACGTTAAGATGTCAACCAATAGAAAAAGGGCGACTGCTGAGTAATATGGGCAGCCTATTTAAATGCTCATCCCATAATTTTCAATTTTTGCATTGTCCTGAACTGAATTCTGCCACATACAACACTGTAGGTTTTCAGCCTTATAATAGAATTCCAAAAAATATTAAAAAATTAAATAAATAGGTTTCGGAGTTGGTGGTGAGCTCTCTGGATTAACATTCATTTTTCGTGTAGTTCTTTTTGGTGGCATACACAAAAAAATACAAGGTCAACTTATCACCACAACCAGTGATCATATACAATAGACAATAAAGTGACATTGCCTTTAGAGTCAAATTGTGCTAATGAAGAGGAGATTTCATAGCAGACAGATGAATGGGGGCTCAAAGAAGCATCTTTGAATATATTGCAATAGATCAAATATTGCATGAAGTCAAGAAGTGTTTGTAGTGAGTGAGGCCTCTTCACCTACTTGCTCTTCTTTAGCTCCTTTGCATTAGTCTGCACACAGACAATGGGCTCCAGGCACATCGAAATTATCAAATACAAATTAAAGAGCACTTAACACAATAGTTTCAAGAGAGGATCAATGGCAAAAGTGCAGATATCACTGGCAGGAGGAGGCTGAAGACTCTCAGGAGAATGAAACAGCCCTGGCAGTTGGGGAGTAGGTCTCCTCCTTGGTGACACCAATCCTGGACGAGATATAAATGTTCTGCAAATTCAGTGCTTGCTGGTATACAATGTCTCTTCCTCTGTGTCTGTTTCATCCTGAAATTCACTGCTCAAAAGAGATTTCTTTGAACCAGTGGACATCAAGCGGATCTCATCCTCATAGTCCTCATTGTGCTGACGTAGTCTATGAAACCCATCTTTGTGTCTGTTGGAACTGATGGAGCATACACACCAGATTATGCAAGCTGTGAGTAACAGGGCTGACAGGGTGGCACCTGGAAGTAAATACAGATATATTCAAATTAATTACATAGTTTTATGGTTGATAGGCATGTGTTTAGTCTTCAGTGTCATTAGAAGGACATGCATCGTTTTGAGACAACTCTAATTTAAAAGATTTACCTTTAAATGACACTGTAGCCTTGCTGTGCAGGCTGAAAAAAAAGCAGGTAAATATGATTTTTATTTAATATTTACCTGCTTATTTTTTCTTATGCTTTCCAAACCCACTCCATGGGGAGCACTGACCTAGTGTCCTATCCCTAGGAATATTGGAAAAGTGTATTGGGCATGCCTAACCGATTTACACATGTGCAGTTGGAAGATCTCTTCACCTTGCAACATCCTGACAGGGGGAGTAGAGAGGGAGTCTGATCTGTGTGATTCATGAAGAGCAATGTCAGGTTTCTATCTACTGCTTCTGCAAAATTATGTCCTTTTTTCTGCCCTTAGTGAACTGGTCTAAATGGAGATGTGTGGGTAAAAGGGAGGGGGAGGCTGAAGAATTTCCCAAAGCTTAGATAATGCTATTTAAGCAAATTTATAGTAAGTTTATAGTAAGTTTATAAACGTTCATTTACTTTATAAAGTGTTTGCTTGCTTTATTTTGGCTTGTATATTTATTTAAAAGTGTTTGCAGTATTTTTGCAGTATCTGCTTTGAACATCCTGCTTAGTAATTTTATATAACTGGAAAGTGTAGTCACTGAAATGGTGTAGATTGACCTAGATGAAAGTATACAATACTCCTGATACATCACTGAACATATAGTCCATCTGGGTACCATATGTTAGCCCATGCTACCATAAATGTATTCTGTTTGCCTCATCTCACATCACTTCTACAAAAAAATATAATCTATTGCACGATTCTCATAATGTTAAGCATTTAATGACAAAGAAATATGTTATTTTTCATCTTGATATGCTTGTAATAACATTACTTGGTTGTTCTTAGTTTGTGATTAATTAGTTATAGTTTGCTGCACAAATAGGGCAAGGTTAAAGAACAAGTCTACATATAGGACCTATATACACACACACACACACACATTCATAGAGTAAAGGGACACTGTAGGCACCCAGTCCACTTCAGCTCATTGGTCTGGGTGCAATGCCCCATGTCCTTTAACCCTGCAATAGTAATTATTGCAGTTGCTGAGAAACTGCAATAATTACTATCCGGGGTTAACGCAACCTCTTTTGGCTGTCTACCAGACAGCCACTAGAGGGCTTCCTGGTTTTAAACGGACCTTTGGACCTCCAGCGTCAGACTGAATAATGCTTTCCTATGGGAAAATCCTAATGTGAGTGCGGCCATTGCTTGGGCGTAGACTGACCCAGCACCAAGGGACATCGGCGCTGGATTCAGCTAAGTGACTGAAGGGGTTTTAACCCCATCAGCATCGTGGGAGTGGGGGCGGGAGAAAGGGGGCACTGTAGGATTCTGCAGTGCCAGGAAAATGGCTATGTTTTCCCGGCACTAAAGAATCCATTTAAGCTAAAGTGCAGTAAGGGGCAGAAGTGTCCCTTTTAAAATATTTCTACAAATGATTGAATGTCACATTTTTAGGAAACTAAGTTTCTCCTGCAAGCATGGGTAAGGTAACTTTGCATGAGGCAGATAAATAAACACTAGATAAACACACACACACACGCGGGCACACACACGAGAGAGGGGAGCATTAAACTTTTAGTTGTTTTTTGGTTTGTTTGCTATATACTTTTAAACTGATTTTACATACCTGCAACTGTTACAACAAGTTCCCTGGGCAACCCAAAGATGCGGTTATCCATGTTGAATATTATCTGTATAGGACTAGCAGCATCGTGTCTTACAAGAACCTGAAAGAGAAAAAGAAGAGATTAGAAGATCCATTCTTTGAAAATGGTGAATTACAAACAAGACAGCTTATATTTTCAGCAATATAGGTCGCCAAAGTGAAATTTTACACCAAACTAATTTGAACAGTGATGGCTAGCCACAACTATGCAAAGTAACAAATATCTGGCAGCATTTTAGACTTATGCAAATTTTACATAAAGGGACACTCAAGGCACCCACACCACTTAATCTAAATGAAGTGGTCTGAGCACAGACATAAAAGATAAATTCTCTGATTTAACCCCTTAAGGAAACAACTTCTAGAATAAAAGGGAATCATGACGGAATATTTCCGTCATGAATCCTTAAGGGGTTAATGGCTAAACTTATTAGCACATAAATATTGAGGGATGGAGATTCTATCAGCAGACGCCAGGGACAGGCAGCTCCGGAGATCAGGCTTGTGGATTTTCTATCCTTTTAGGCCTTCCGCAGGCAATTGC